TGGTGGATGGATGGTGGATGGAGGATGGATGGATGGATGAATGGATGGATGATGGATGGATGGATGGATGGATGGATGGATCGATGGAGGATGGATGGATGGATGGATGGATGGATGGATGGATGGATGGATGGATCGATGGATGGTGGATGGATGATGGATGGATGGATGAATGGATGGATGATGGATGGATGGATCGATGGAGGATGGATGGATGGATGGATGGATGGATGGATGGATGATGGGTGGATGGATGGATCGATGGATGGTGGATGGATGATGGATGGAGGATGCATGGATGGATGAATGGATGGATGATGGATGGATGGATGGATGGATGATGGGTGGATGGATGGATGGATGGATGGATGGATGGATGGATGGATGGATGATGGATGATGGTGGATGGATGATGGATGGAGGATGGATGGATGATGGATGGATGGATGGATGGATGGATGGATGGATGATGGGTGGATGGTGGATGGATGATGGATGGAGGATGGATGGATGGATGATGGATGGTGGATGGATGATGGATGGAGGATGGATGGATGGATGATGGATGGATGGATGGATGGATGATGGATGGATGGATGGATGATGGATGGTGGATGGATGATGGATGGATGGATGGATGATGGATGGAGGATGGATGGATGGATGGATGATGGATGATGATGGATGATGGATGGATGGATGGATGGATGGATGGATGGATGGATGGATGGATGGATGGATGGATGATGGATGGATGGATGGATGGATGGATGGATGGTGGATGGATGATGGATGGATGGATGGATGATGGATGGAGGATGGATGATGGATGGATGATGGATGGATGGATCGATGGAGGATCGATGGATGGATGGATGGATGATGGATGGATGGATGATGGATGGATGGTGGATGGATGATGGATGGATGGATGGATGATGGATGGATGATGGATGGAGGATGGATGGATGATGGATCGATGGAGGATCGATGGATGGATGGATGATGGATGGATGATGGATGGATGGATCGATGGAGGATCGATGGATGGATGGATGATGGATGGATGGATCGATGGAGGATCGATGGATGGATGGATGATGGATGGATGATGGATGGATGGATCGATGGAGGATCGATGGATGATGGATGGATGGATGGATGGATGATGGATGGTGGATGGATGATGGATGATGCATGGATGGATGGATGATGCATGGATGGATGGATGGATGGATGATAGATGGATGGATGGAAGTGAAGTTGTGTCCATTCTAGGGATGCAGATCTATTAATGGCTGTTATTCGTCATTTTTATACATTAATGTATTTGAGCCCTTTATAAATAATGCAGGCATCTGTCTAGAACTATGAATATCAGAGTACTGTGGTTCTATTGTGTTCTCAACAATAGGAAAGCATTCAATAAGTAGCTGTAGGTCCATCAGCCACCACCCTTAGAGAGGCTCCACCCTTAGAGCTCCTCCACCCTTAGAGTGCCCCCACCCTTAGAGCTCCTCCACCCTTAGAGCGCCCCCACCCTTAGAGGTCCTCCACCCTTAGAGCGCCCCCACCCTTAGAGAGGCTCCACCCTTAGAGCTCCTCCACCCTTAGAGTGCCCCCACCCTTAGAGCTCCTCCACCCTTAGAGCGCCCCCACCCTTAGAGCTCCCCCACCCTTAAAGCGCCTCCACCCTTAGAGCTCCTCCACCCTTAGAGCGCCCCCACCCTTAGAGCTCCTCCACCCTTAGTGCGCCCCCACCCATAGAGCTCCTCCACCCTTAGAGAGGCTCCACCCTTAGAGCTCCTCCACCCTTAGAGATCCTGCACCCTTAGAGCTCCTCCACCCTTAGAGTGCCTCCACCCTTAGAGCGCCCCCACCCTTAGAGCTCCTCCACCCTTAGTGCGCCCCCACCCATAGAGCTCCTCCACCCTTAGAGAGGCTCCACCCTTAGAGCTCCTCCACCCTTAGAGATCCTGCACCCTTAGAGCTCCTCCACCCATAGAGTGCCCCCACCCTTAGAGCTCCTCCACCCTTAGAGCGCCTCCATCCTTAGAGCACCCCCACCCTTAGAGCGCCTCCACCCTTAGAGCTCCTGCACCCTTAGAGCTCCTCCACCCTTAGAGCTCCTCCACCCTTAGAGCTCCTGCACCCTTAGAGCTCCTCCACCCTTAGAGTGCCCCCACCCTTAGAGCTCCTCCACCCTTAGAGCGCCTCCATCCTTAGAGCACCCCCACCCTTAGAGCGCCTCCACCCTTAGAGCTCCTGCACCCTTAGAGCTCCTCCACCCTTAGAGCGCCCCCACCCTTAGAGCTCCCCCACCCTTAAAGCGCCTCCACCCTTAGAGCTCCTCCACCCTTAGAGCGCCCCCACCCTTAGAGCTCCCCCACCCTTAGAGCGCCCCCACCCTTAGAGCGCCCCCACCCTTAGAGCGCCCCCACCCTTAGAGCTCCCCTTACACCCTTGGCAGAATTTTCCAGCCTCTGAGGAATGATGGCAGCAAATCATTTATACAGGTGGGTCATAAAATTAGAATATCATGAAAAAGTAGATTGATTTCAGTAATTCCATTTAAAAAGTGAAACTTGTATATTATATTCATACATTACATACAAACTCATATATTTCAGATGTTTATTTTGTTTAATTTTGATGATTACAAATGACAACAAATGAAAATCTCAAATTCATCATATCAGAAAATTAGAATATTGTGAAAAGGTTCAAAATTGATGGCCCCTGGTGCCACACTCTAATCAGCTAATTAACTCAAACCACCTGCAAAAGCCTTTAAATGGTCTTTCAGTCTAGTTCTATAGGCTACACCAGTGGTTCCCAAAGTGTGGGGCGCGCCCCCTAGGGGGGGCGCAATGCCATTGCAGGGGGGGCGCGGGAAGCGGTATGGATGAATGAAGAAAAAAAAAAAAAACAGCGCTTGCTTGACTGAGCATAATGGACCGTTGTGACACTGCAACCCAGATTTGAGAAGATCTACAGCAACAAGGAGGCTCACTACAGCCACTGAAAAGATGGGAGGATTAAAGTACAAAGAAAAAACTCTCAGGGAGCTGTTCAATGTTTTCACTCCATTTTGCACAGAGGCTTTTTTAATGTATAGATTATAGCAAAGTTAAATATTCTTACAAATAAAAAAAAAATAAATATGTTTAAAATAACACAGACAACAAAGAATCCTCTTCTAATCTACAGTATAGAACTATTAAAAAAATACAGTTACACAAGTGTTCCTACAGATGGTGTAGTTTGTTTTGTTGCAACCTGAAGTGTGAAATAAACTTCAGTGGAGTTTGAAAACAAAATATGTGTATAGATTTTTCATATCTGGTTGAACGATGTGTGTGACCCGTTGATTTGTTTTTTTTTTGTTTTTTGTTTTTTTTGGGGGGGGGGGGCGTGGAAATTTTATTGTAATCCAAAGGGGGGCCCAGAACAAAATCTTTGGGAACCACTGGGCTACACAATCATGGGGAAGACTGCTGACTTGACAGTTGTCCAAAAGACGACCATTGACACCTTGCACAAGGAGGGCAAGACACAAAAGGTCATCGCTAAAGAGGCTGGCTGTTCACAGAGCTCAGTGTCCAAGCACATTAATAGAGAGGCGAAGGGAAGGAAAAGATGTGGTCGAAAAAAGTGTACAAGCAAGAGAGATAACCGCACCCTGGAGAGGATTGTGAAACAAAACCCCTTCAAAAATGTGGGGGAGATTCACAAAGAGTGGACTGCAGCTGGAGTGAGTGCTTCAAGAACCACCACACACAGACGTATGAAAGACATGGGTTTCTGCTGTCGCATTCCTTGTGTCAAGCCACTCTTGAACCACAGACAGCGTCAGAAGCGTCTTGCCTGGGCTAAAGAGAAACAGGACTGGACTGCTGGTGAGTGGTCCAAAGTCATGTTCTCTGATGAAAGTAAATTTTGCATTTCCTTTGGAAATCAAGGTCCCAGAGTCTGGAGGAAAAGAAGAGAGGCACTTCATCCACGTTGCTTGAAGTCCAGTGTAAAGTTTCCACAGTCAGTGATGGTTTGGGGTGCCATGTCATCTGCTGGTGTTGGTCCATTGTGTTTTCTGAGGTCCAGGGTCAACGCAGCCACATACCAGGAAGTTTTAGAGCACTTCATGCTTCCTGCAGCTGACCAACTTTTTGGAGATGCAGATTTCATTTTCCAACAGGACTTGGCACCTGCACACAGTGCCAAAGCTACCAGTACCTGGTTGAAGGACCATGGTATCCCTGTTCTTAATTGGCCAGCAAACTCTCCTGACCTTAACCCCATAGAAAATCTATGGGGTATTGTGAAGAAGAAGATGCAATACACCAGACCCAACAATTCAGAAGAGCTAAAAGCCACTATTAGAGCAACCTGGGCTATCATAACACCTGAGCAGTGCCACAGACTGATCGACTCCATGCCACGCCGCATTGCTGCAGTAATACAGGCCAAAGGAGGCCCAACTAAATACTGAGTGCTGTACATGCTCATACTTTTCATGTTCATACTTTTCAGTTGGCCAACATTTCTATAAATCCTTTGTTTTTATTGGTCTTCAGTAATATTCTAATTTTCTGATATGATGAATTTGAGATTTTCATTTGTTGTCATTTGTAATCATCAAAATTAAACAAAATAAACATCTGAAATATATGAGTTTGTATGTAATGTATGAATATAATATACAAGTTTCACTTTTTAAATGGAATTACTGAAATCAATCTACTTTTTCATGATATTCTAATTTTATGACCAGCACCTGTATTCTCCTTTCAGCACAACGGACAGAGATTCCACTCTTCATCTGTTTAATGGAAAGTTTATATTCAGCCCAGATACACAGAAACACAGTGAGCATCTGAGTCAGCGCCACGTCAGCATGCCGTCAGCGCCACATCAGCACGCCGTCTGCGCCACATCAGCACGCCGTCAGCATGCCTCCAGCGCCACATCAGCACGCCGTCAGCACGCCATCAGCCAACGTCAGCGCCACATCAGCATGCCGTCAGCGCCACATCAGCACGCCGTCAGCCTCTGGAGGGTCGGTTTGTTGGACCAATGACATCCTGTTTGTGTCAAACACATGTGCCTCCTCCCAGCCACCGCCGCCCTTCTTCTTCTTCCTGGCGTCAGCGACGGGAAACGTTCTGCTCCTGATCTCATCAGTCGACCGGGGGAACATGGAGGACGCAGAACTGGCCTGGTGTCAGAGCTGACACGATCCGATCGGCATGACGATGGAACGGCAGATCTATGTATGTGAAGGCCAGAGGCGTCTCTAGGCTCAAAGGATGGGGGAGGCGGGCCCCCGCTGCTGGAGCTCCTGCCTTACTGGAAAAACCGTGGAGGACTAGACCTGGTGGATGACCTGAGGACCTGGCGGATGACCTGAAGACCTGGTGGATGACCTGAGGACCTGGTGGATGACCTGAGGACCTGGTGGATGATGGATGAAGGCTCGGTTCAATCAGCTGGTGTCTCCACCTTGATGTTTAGGCTAGTAGTCCTGCTGGAAGGTGGACCTCCACCTCAGGCACATGTCCTCTTTAGCCTCCACCAGTCTCTTTATTTCGAGCCAGCTTCCTGTCCCACACCATAATGCTGCCTCCACCATGCTTCATTGTTTCCATGGTGATGATCATTGCCTTCTTTCACATCTGGTGGTCTGAATGACGAGCTGGAGGCGGGGCTAGATAGAGCCTGGGATCTAGAAGCTCGGACCGAGAGCGCCCTCTACTGCTCAGCATGGAAATAACCAGTTCAGACCCGCTGGTCAGCCGGAACGGGTCACGGTGAAGATCAGCTCTGAAAAAAGCCTTCATCTCTGCAGGTCAGAGTATAAACTCCAAACGGATCAGAACCGGGCCTACTTGATCCGGATCTCAAAGCAGAGGCAGTTGCAGGAGTCGCAGTCAGGAGGCTGGCAGGTGCAGGCGCAGTCCAGGCTGAGGCACTGAGGAGGAGAGCAGAAGGTAGAGATCAGGTGCACCTAGGAGGCTCTGCTGCTCTTCTACCAGGACCTCATCAGAGAAGAACTTTTGGCTGAAGCCAGAATCTTTCAGAACATAAATGTTGGCAAACTCAGCCACGTCCCAAAACCGCCACATATTTCAGTGACTTGGACCTAACAGAGACGTTTCTGCTGCCTGAACATCTCTCAGCTTCACCATGGAGCTACTGAAGCTCCATGGTGAAGCTGAGAGGAACCGGGTCAGATGTGGTCTCCACTTACAGCAGGAGCGGAGCAGGAGGGCAGGAAGGCGCTGAGGCTCGGCAGGCGGCAGTCACACAGCTGGGCCAGGTGGAGGCAGCGCTCACACAGCGACACATCGGGGCAGCAGCTGCAGCAGCCGGGGGAGCAGCGGTCCTGTGGAAGCAGCACACCCATCGGATCAGTTCCAGGGTCTGATCAGCTCAAAAAGTAAAAAATCTTGGTGTTGTTTTTGATCAGGACCTGTCATTTAAATCCCAGATCAAAGAGGTTTCTAGAATTTCCTTCTTTCATCTGAGGAATATTGCAGAAATGAGCAATCTCCTGTCCAGGGGTGATGCTGAGAAACTAGTCCATGCATTTGTTACTTCAAGGCTGGACTATTGTAATTCTTTACTATCAGGAAGTCCACAAACTGTAGTTAAAAGCCTTCAGCTGATCCAAAATGCTGCACCCAGAGTTCTGATGAAAATGAAAAAGAGAGATCATATCTCTCCTATCCTGGCTTCTCTTCATTGGCTTCCTGTTAAATCCAGAATAGAATTTAAAATCCTCCTTCTCACATATAAAGCCTTAAATGGCCATGCTCCATCTGATATCAGAGATCTGATTGTTCCTTATGTTCCTAACAGAGCACTTCGCTCGCAATCTGCAGGTTTACTAGTGGTTCCTAGAATTTCTAAAAGTAGAATGGGAGGCAGATCTTTTAGTTATCAGGCTCCTCTCCTGTGGAACCAACTACCAGTTTTAGTCCGTGAGGCAGACACCCTGTCTACTTTTAAGGCTAGGCTTAAAACTTTCCTTTTTGATAAAGCTTCTAGTTAGAGTGGCTCAGGTTATCCTGAGCTATCTCTATAGTTATGCTGCTATAGGCTTAGACTGCTGGAGGACATAGGGACCCCTTTTTCATTATTATGCTTCATTCTATCTCTATTCTCCCACTCTGCAGAATCTGTTAGTTCAATCTCTAACGTTCTGCTCTCTCTGCTTTTTCTCATAGTAGCTTCATCTGGTCTGTTCCTGTTTGGCTGTGACTCCATCCTGGAGAGAAATATCAGCTGTGCTGCTGCCATCAACACCTTTGTTTCTAGATGTTGGAGCTTGGCCTGTTTTCCAGTGTAGTCCTGTTTCTCTGACTGTGACTAACTGGATGTGCTCTCTTCATCCTCTGACATGGGAGCTGGCTCGGAGCTCGTCTGCCTGGCTGTGTGTTTCCTGGAAGGGGCCGTTTCTAATAATTTGCTGATGAAGATTCTCAGTCATTCCATGAAAATTTAAATACAATCCACTGGACTTGGTTTCCAAGGTTTAAAGACGTTTCGCTTCCCATCCAGGAAGCTTTCTCAATTCAAATGTCTGGATCCAGAGTGAGTTTGAGTCTTTATAGACGAGGCCTTGTATCGCTTGGAAACATGCTAACAGAAACCGATGAGCGGGTCGTTTGGTTCCATAGTTAGCCTGTAATACCTGAAACCTGTCTATGATTCTAAAGCTTAAGACTGAAGTCTACTATAATCGACACAGGGCAGAAGAGATTCACAAAAAGCTACTTAGTGAGAGGATTACAGACACACTTCACAATTGAAGCTCTCGCACAAAATAGATCAGACAAGGCAGAAGTTATCCAACCTTCTCCCTAAAACCTTGTTTGAAGAAGTTGCCATGTTTGTTCATAAGGTCAAGCTTTCACAACATCAAAAAACAAAAGAAAGACAACAAGCTAAATTCAAAAAATTACAACAGAAAGCAGCGTTTAAACAAGAGAGCAACATGACTTAGGAGGAAGACGCCAACATTGAGGTCGAAGACAGGTGGGTCAAAAACCTGTCTAGCAGACCACTGACTAAACCAGAGACGGATGTTCTGAGTAAAGGCCTGAATTTTGCCATTTCTCCACAAGAAGTACCCATTATGGAGCTGATCACTGGCACTGAATCGGCCTTCAGGAACAACAACTTGGCTGAAACGGAGGCAGAGCGACTCAGACTGATGGTAACAGCCACCCTGTCCAGCGCCAAACCACCTCCTTCCAACCTCACACCCCAGGAGATGAAAGCCATAACATCCCTGAGCCAGGACCAAAGCATCACCATGATACCAGCAGACAAAGATGCACCGTGGTCCTCAACACCTCAGACTACCAAGACAAAATGATCACTCTACTGAACGACACTAATACCTATGAATCCTGGAAAAGAGATCCAACCAGCGGCTACAAAAAGAAAATAATAAACTATCTCAAATAACTTGAAAAAGACACGGTAATTAACAGCACAGGCTATTTCAGATAATATCCAGGGGAGGAAATTCCAGCTTATGTGGACTTCCAAAGATTCCCAAGGAAGGAAAACCACTCAGGCCCATTGTCAGCAGCATTAACTCAGTAACAGACAACATTGCTAAACGGCTTACTAATATCTTAGCTAGGCTTGTCCCGATCCAATCCACGTATCGGATCGGGATGCCGATATTGGCAAAAAAATGCGTATCGGCAAAGCATGTAAAATGCCGATCCAGACTGCCGATCCAGTTTTTTAAAAAAAATCCGGGTCCGTATTTTCCAGCTTCGCCGATTGAAACGATCCATTCCACTATTTTGCGCCAGTGTTTCCCTGTTTTGCATTTTTATTAAAACTTACAAAAATACTTGCACCTTTAACTGTTTATGGTTTTACTGTTCACTGTGCAATTTCAGATTGCTATTCATAATTTTGTCCAGTTTGTGTTTATCTCTTAATAAACAGGTAAGTTTGTTGTTACCAAGCATTGTGTTTTATTCAATCTCACCTAATTTAGCTGGCTAGATGTTATCAAGAGTACTAAAACCCTTTTCAACATGAGTCTTACAACTAAGGCTAAATACATTAACTTAAACTTAAATACATGCTCGGATAGGCTGGTATCGGCCAGTATCGGTATCGGATCGGAAGTGCAAAAACCTGGATCGGGACATCTCTAATTTTAGCTGCCTTGGTAGGAAACACATCACATAGAAAACTCCAAAGACTTTGCTAACAAAGTCAAACATTTGAGGATGAGACCAGGAGAAACCCTGGTATCGTTTGATGTTACTTCACTTTTCACATGCATAACGATAACAGAGGCAGTGGAAACAGTCGGGACGCGTCTTCAACAAGACAGTGACCTAAACAACAGGACTAATTCCACTCCGGACCAGATCTGCACGCTACTGGGCCTTCGTCTTTCCACAACCTATTTCACTTTCAGAGGTAATTTTTACAGACAGAAGCATGGCTGCGCAATGAGATCTCCAGTATCACCAATTGTAGCCAATCTTTACATGGAAGAAATGGAAAAGAGAGCTTTAGACACTTTCAATGGAACACCACCAAGCCACTGGTTTAGATACGTGGATGAAACTTTCATCAAAATCCAGCTAGAGGAAGTGGAAGCTTTCACCAAACACATCAACTCTGTTGACCGTAACATCAGATTCACCAGAGAGGATGCCAAGGACAACAAACTACCCTTTCTGGACTGCCTGGTGAGCCTGGAAGGAGATGGAAGCCTAAACATTGAAGTGTAGAGGAAACCTACTCACACAGACCAGTATCTTCTTTTTGACTCACACCCCCCACTGGAACACAAACTCTCAGTCATCAGAACCTTACAACACCGGGCAGAACATGTCCCTACTAGAACAGAAGCACAAAGAACAGGAACACATCAGAGATGCTCTCCAGAACTGTGGATTTCCAAACTGGGCTTTAATCAAATCAGCAAGGAAATCCAAAAGACACGCAACAGAAGACAGCGATGGGAAAAATAAAAACATCTCCATCCCTCATGTTGCTGCAGTGTCTGAAAAACTCAAGAGGATTTTCTCCAAACACAAAATCCCAGAACATTTCAAACCAAACCCTTAAACAGAGACTAGTTCATCCTAAAGATAAAACCTCCAGACCCAATCTGAGCGGAGTGGGATATGCTGTTCAGTGCAGAGAGGAATGCTCTGATCTTTATATTGGAGAAACCAAACAACCTCTCCACAGACGCATGGCCCAACACAGAAGAGCGCCCTCCTCTGGACAAGACTCTGCAGTACATCTACACCTGATGGACAAAGGACATTCTTTGGAGGACCAGAATGTCCATATTCTAGATAAAGAAAATAGGTGGTTTGAGAGGAAGGAAGCCATCTATGTTAAGAGAGAAAAAACAACTTTAAACAGGGGGGGGGACTCAGATTCAGGTGATCCCTTCCAGATATCACCAAACCCCCCACCCCATCACAGAGGAACGAGGGACCTACCCGCTCCAGCCGGTGAACAATACCTCCTTAACAATCATAGACAGGTTTCAGGTATTATAGGAGACAATTCCCCCCTTTTAACTACAACCCCCCCCTTTTAACGACAACCCCCCCCTTAACGGACAGAACCGGACCAACCTTGAGGCAGTATCGGATCCACAGCCCCACCCCCAGAACCGCCATGTAGAGAGCCACGGTGATCATCATCACTGCAGGCAGCGGCACGGCGAGGCCCCAGACCGGCAGAACCTGAGGATCAGGAGGGGGGACAAAGGTCAAAGGTCAGCGCTGCAGCAGAGCCTAGATCCGTCTCAAACTCCTGACCTGCATGCTGCCGTCTGGCTGGGACAGAAACCAACTGGCCCGGGTCAGTGGTCCTCCGCCAGACTGGGACTGCTTCACAGGAGGAACTTCTGAGCACCGAGGCAGCGAGGAGAGGTTCTCTGTAGATCAATGAAAGATAGAACTCAGAGTTCTGTTCTATTCAGCTTACTTCTATTAACTCCACAGCAACCCCTCACACTGAGTATGCAGAAAAAAGATCGAGCAGAACCAGAACCAGCAGGACCAGTGAGACCAGCAGGACCAGTGAGAGTCTAATCTAGTTTCTGCAGATTTCAATTATTTGGTCCTTGAACGTAGAAAACCCCATGATAGGATCCTTCAACTGACAATATGATGATTTTATTATAATAATGATAATAATGATGATGATGATGATGATAATGATGATGATGATGATGATGACTGCAGCGTTCTATTCTCAGTCAGCAGGAACCAATTAAACATCATTGGGGTCCAAATAAAGAAAATCATCAACCAGTAAAGGTCTGGAGACATTTTTAATGATCTGTTAATTTAAACAGATTTTAACACTGAAATAACATGAGGTTTTTATGCCTCCATGTTATACATTGAATTTTAAAACAAATAGAAAATTTTTCCATTTTAAAATCTAAAGTGTTTTTTATAGTAGAGAACAACAATCGTTCAGTTTGGTTTATAGATAATTTCCTGATTCCCATATTTTCTCAAACCCCTGAACTGAGCGTTTGTTATTTTCTTTCTTTTTTCTGTCTTAATGTTGGCAGTGGGCTTTAGGCTGCCCTGCAAGGCTTTAAACCTGGGTTTAACCGAAGACTAAGCCATTCTCAAGCACATATCAAGGAGCTCATTTTGAGCCTGGATCCAGATTTATTGTTGATTCTGTTCATGGTGGAGAATCCTGCTTCACAGCAGCAGGTTGAGCCAAACATCCTCTAAATGTGCAGGGTCATCTTTGAGCACGCCATTTCACTTTTCTTTCACCAGTTCACCGCAGTTCTTCCAGCAGTCCACACTTTCTCTGCTCTCTTTTTCTCATGGTCTTCTCCTTCTTTCCCATCGCCCGGCTTGCCACAGGTTTGCCTGCTGTGTCTAAAAGTAGCAGCAGCAGCAACCCAGACTGACAGCAGCTCATTGGATCATTTGGATCACGTGCAGCCTGGAGCCGGACACTCCCCAGGGCTTTACCGTATTAACAGGAGAAGAGGAGCAAGCGAAGTTAGACACTGTTGTTGGACAACATGCGGTAATTTATAAATGTTTTACATCAGGTTGGGTCCAGATCCACTATTCTGTGACCTTTGCCTTAAACTGTAAGTAATACGTCTTTCATTACAGAGACAGTTTCTCTCCCATTCTGCTTCATTCTATCTCTATAGTTCTGCTGCTATAGGCTTAGACTGCTGGAGGACATAGGGACCCCTTTTTCATCATTCTGCTTCATTCTATCTCCATAGTTCTGCTGCTATAGGCTTAGACTGCTGGAGGACATAGGGACCCCTTTTTCATCATTCTGCTTCATTCTATCTCTATTCTCCCACTCTGCAGAATCTATTAGTTCAATCTCTAACGTTCTGCTCGCTCTGCTTTTTCTCATAGTAGCTTCATCTGGTCTGTTCCTGTTTGGCTGTGACTCCATCCTGGAGAGAAATATCAGATGTGCTGCTGCCATCAACACCTTGGCCCCGAAGATCTGGATGATGTGGATCTATAAAGTGACCTGAGATGAAATGATGTGAACTGGAGCTATAGAAATAAACTGAATATCAGAGATCTGATAGTTAGCAGTTAGAGAGACTCAGGGTTCAAGCAGCCGATTCTTAGAGCGAGATCTGTTTGCACTGGATCTATAGTGACCTGAGATTACACGTGTTATGTGCTATAGAAATAAAGTGAATAGAGTTTACTCGCCTCAGACCCAGACTCTTCAGACTGTAGCTTGATGTAGAGGCAAAGTTCGGCTGGACATAAACAGCCTTAATGGACCCGAACCGGAACCCGCGGTCCCTCCTTTAACACTGAAGATCCCGGTGGGTTACCATGGAGACGGATGGATCCTCGCGAGGGACAGAAAGAGCGAGATTGATGTTTTTTCTTCTTCTGATCAATTTCAGTTCAATTTATTTCTTTAGCTCTTATTTAATTCTTATCATTTCATCACAGCTCACTTTATAGAAACAAATCAAGCAGATCAACCAGGCAGCGTCATCGGGCTGATGACGTCATAGCGCCATCTCTCCGGATTTAAAGGCTTTTTTTATTATTAATTTCAAAAACTATCAGCTATGAAACAAAGATGGATAAATTCTAGAACAGAACAAGTCTCTCAGGAATATAGATATTAGGCAGCTAGATGCAGATAAAAGCTATAAATATAAAATTAAAACAAATATAAACATCACTAACTTGCAGCAATCAAGATGTGACCAACATAAAATAAAAACAAAAGTAAAGTGCAGTTTCCTTCTATAGAAACGCTTTTATTAGATTTTCTGATGAGAAAAACCATCTGGGAAAGATCCCATCAGCAGAAAGTTTCCTAAACATTCCAGAAGTTTTCACTTTATCTTAAATATTTGTGTTCTTAGATCTATGAATGGAAATCTTAAATTTTAAAAATTGGTTCACAAAGAAAAAATGTTTCAATCTCTCAATGTTTATCAGACTAAATACACAACATTCTGTCATTTATTTCAACTCTGATGACAAAAACTTTTAGTTTGATATACTTCATGAATTATTTTAATCTGCAGAGGCTGAGTTTTATAATTGGTTCTTAGGTTAGAAAAGTGAATGAAATTGTGAAACATTCCTTTAATCCAGACATTTTTAGGCCAAGGAGCCCAAACAGAGTGAGACGAAGCAGCAGGGAGGGACCCCTTCATTTTATTTATATATACAGTAAGAAATGGTGTTCTATCAAATTATAGTCACCCTATTACAGACGGAGTAATGCAACTAAAGTAATCCCTCCCTGGGATTATTAAAGTATTTCTGCTTCCTGGGACAGGTGTTGTGATTGAAACGGTGTCCAGCTTGAAAGAGCTCCTGTGTGTCGCTGAATGTGAGCATTGATGCCTGAAAGACATCTTCTACCTCCATTTATCTGTTTACTGTCTGTTGGAATCATGTTCATTTAAAGACATTTCAATTAGTCAACTCAGCATGTGACATCTAATATTGCGGATCTGAATACCTTCAACCCAGAGCAGTGGGGAACTTTCAGAGTAAAACCAGTAATTTTTAACTATAACAGGAGTTGAAGAGTTTTTCTAACTGTGAAAGTTGACCTGGATCTAGACCCAGTTCAGATTCTATGACCACCTCAGATGTTCTGTTATCTAAGGAAGAACGGAGAACCTTCAGCCTGTGAAGGAATAAGTTTCAGCCCTCTGCAGCTCTGCTCAGCAACACAGGACAAAGGGAAATATTCCTTAAAATGTAAACCTGCACTATCTGATAATTACCTGCTAAAGTGGAACCTTCTTTAGGGGAGAACTCTGTTAAATCCTGAAGGTTATTAAAAAGTCAGAGAGGAAATACTGTTATTTCTTCACATTCTGTGAAGATGAAAATGTGGAACATTTTGAACAAAGCCAATAGTGTCTAAGATAGCATTAAAGGCTGGTCTTAAGCTATCGCCTTCAATGTCAGCATGGATGTTAAAATCTCCCACTATGATGATCCTGTCAGTATTTAATACCAAATCAGAAAGGAACTCTGAAAACTCATCTAAACATTCAGAGTAAGGACCTGGTGGACGATACAAAGTTACAATAAGAAGAGGTTTTCTGGCTTTGCAGTTTGGATGAAGCAAACTAAGGGTTAAATGTTCAATAGATGTAATTATTAACAATCTTTGGATCAATCAGTCGGTCAGTCTGACAGATCAATGTTTCTCTTTGCCCTGAATCGTTCTCAGCCCAGTAAGAACCACTGAAACCAGCAGGTTTATTCCCATCAGCGCTCCAAGAGATCAGAACCGGTCCTGCAGCTTCTGACCCAAACGGGCCAACCTTCCTGCACCCAGCCCCCCCCCCGAAAGCACCCGCTGCAATAAATGGAGACTCGTCGTTTTATTGAAACACCTTCAAAGTACAAAACAAAAACGTTACATGAAGCGGCGGCGCCGGCCCGAGGCGCCTGATCTAAAAATAAAGGAGGGAACCAAAGGGTCATGGAAGGAGGAACGAGCATCACCACTCGTCCCTGATGTGTGGAGCTGCAGCGGCGCGTCTGTGCCCCCAGCAGGGAGGGGGGGTGGAGGCGTTACAGAGTCCCATGTTTCAGAGGTAAGGGGGGAGCAACAGCAGCACATGGGGGGAGGGAGGGAGCGGGGGTCGGGTGTTTGATAGGCTTCCAGGAAGGGGAGGGGGTCTGCTGACAGCTTCTAGAAGCCGTGGACTTTGAGCTGCTCCTCCTTGGCCAGATCAATCTGCAGGACGAAGGAAATCAATTAAACTCTGAGTGGCTAACGAGGCGCTGAGCGAAGGCGGGATGATAATCTCACCTCAATCAGGAACTGGCAGATATTTTTACGCTGATCTCCTTGCAGCTGGATCACTTCACCATACTCCGGGTGCTCGATCACTGTCCCATTGCAGGCGAACTTCTGTTCAACAATCAGAAGAAGGTCTGAAGCGTGAGCCGAGCTGTTAAATGGCTCCATAAACAAACACTGGGATGAAACCAGACTGCAGCCCGGTTCTGATCCGAACCAGAACCGGGCTGCAGCGGGAGCAGAAGCACTTTTACCTTCTTGAAGGCCTTGACTAGCTTCTTCTTGTCATAGTCGGCTGAGATGCCCTGGACAGTGGTGAGGGTCTTCCTGCCGTTCCGCTGTTGGATTCTTATGTGGATGTAGTCCTCTGTCCCAGCTGGGAGGCGGTCATCACCCTTAGTTGCATCAGCAAAGGGGTCTGAAAGAAACAACACATTAACTGCTGATCTATCTGCTCTAGATCTATAGGGAGGGTCACAGCAACTGCGCAGAATCAGCAGCTAAATATACAGACTTCCTGTTTCAACAATAGAGCGATCAAAGGGAAGCTAGCAGCAGTTAGCATCGCTAAGGCCCAGTAATGGCGGCCAGCAGGGCCTGAGCTCCGCGGAGGATTAAAAACTTTATCCCTGAAGCTTTTAAATCCGCTACAGTTTGACATCAGTTCATCACTTTACTGTGAAAAAGAGTCAAATAAAAAGAATAAAAAGAGTAAAGGCCGTTAAAGAGCTGGCTGTGAACTCCCGCCCTTCCCCCACCCTCTGCGGCCACCATCAAGCTCTCACCGAAGGTTTGGAGGTTCTGGATAGCGGACATACGATAAGATTTGCTTTCCTTTCGGATAATAACTTGATGAGCGGATCGGCGGCTGACTTTCTCTGGTTTCTGTCCGGGAGGGTCGGATTCGCTGGGACGCGGAGGCGCTTCTGTCTCACCAGCTCTAACAAAATGGAGACAAGAACGGAGAAAACAAGTCTTTATAGGCCCGCCCCGAAAATGACGTCACTGCGCACAAGACGTACCGATGGAAAACTCCGCCACCAGGACGTTTCTCAATTTTACCGGAAAGTGACGTCATTGCGTCGTAACGCGATCTCATGTTTACGACAAAAACAAACCCCCAAAAAAGTGAAGTGAATCAAATCTGGTTTATTTAGATCAAAGTAAACTGCACTGTCTGCCTGCACCAGAAATATCACCATGACAACAGTAGTGCTTTTACTGAAATTATTTTATTATTTGGGACGTTATTTCAGACACAAGTATACAATATATTTTCTTTATGTTTCAGAACATAAAGAAAGTTTATCTGGAAGAATTTATCTTGAAAAATTCACAAATTTAGAACAATTGGAAAATTTTCCAACAATGCAAATCCATGAGGTGAATAAAACATTATTTGGCCAAATATTTGTTTTATTGAATGATTTGCTTAATCAGGAACCAAAAACCTTTAGTCAAATGATTCTTTATCCTCTAGCAGCGAATAGACATCAGGATTCCACTAATGACTCTTGGTCAGACTTGGTCATGGAAACGTAACGAGCATCTGAGGAACACATGAACACTAATGTTATATCAGGGTTTAAACCCTTAGTGAATAAAGCTGGTCTAACGGGGGGGGAGGGGGTTCTTCCTTTGTCCCGTCTGGCTCAAACCACCGACTTAGACTTATTGTAATTTTGTACAATATTTTGTTTACAAAATGACATTTAGTTTAGTAAATATTTCAGACAGTAAATGAAAGAAAATAAGAGAAAATATGATGCAAAAAACGAATTGATGTGGAAGTTTAGAGCATTAGTTTATATGGTGCAGATGTGCAGTGTTTTGGTTTGGTGTCATCAGTGTGATGCAGAGTTGGTGGAGCCAGTTGGGCTGAGAGGAGGTTGCAGAGCAGAGAGGCCTTTTATAAGCAAAACTACATCCTCTTCTCCAGTGATCATGCTCCGATAAAACATGCATTGCGGTGCAGTGGGGCACCAATTCACATCATCTCAGGTCACTTTATAGAAACAGTTCAACCTGATCATCCAGTCAGATCGATTCAAAGTTTTCTATCTAAGGAAAACCAGCTGATTGCATCGACTCATTGACTCTTCAGCAATCCCTCACACTAAGCATGCTTGTAGCGACAGTGGAGAGGAAAAACTCCCTTTGAACAGGAAGAAGCCTCCAGCAGAACCAGGCTCAGTGTGAGCGGCCATCTGCTGAGGCCCACTGGGGTTCAAGCAGACAGAAGCAGACATAGAAAAAGAAGCATAGATACAAAAGGCAACTGTCAACCAGCTCCACAGGCGGCCCCGTCCAGGAAACACACAGCCAGGCAGACGAGCTCCAAACCAGCTCCCATGTCAGAGGATGAAGAGAGCACATCCAGTTAGTCACAGTCAGAGAAACAGGACTACACTGAAAAACAGGCCAATCAGCACAGCTGATATTTCTCTCCAGGATGGAGTCACAGCCAAACAGGAACAGACCAGATGAAGCTACTATGAGAAAAAGCAAAGAGAGCAGAAGGTCAGAGATTGAACTAACAGATTCTGCAGAGTGGGAGAATAGAGATAGAATGAAGCAGAATGATGAAAAAGGGGTCCCTATGTCCTCCAGCAGTCTAAGCCTATAGCAGCAGAACTATAGAGATAACTCAGGATAACCTGAGGTTTCAAGTAACAAAGTACAATACTTTGTTACTGTACTTAAGTACACTTTTTAGGTATCTATACTTTACTCCATTACTTACTTTTCTTCCTACTTCTGACTTCTAATCATTACATTTTCACACCAGTATCTGTACTTTCTATTCCTTACATTTTAAATCAATTGTTACTCGTTACTCATGGCTTCGGTTTAATGTTTCTAAATCTTTATTTCCCGTCATGTGCTCCATCCAATGCAGATCATTGGCTCCGCCCACATCTAGTGAAAACTAGTGTGATTGGATGAGTCGTAGAACCCAAACATTCATTGGTTAGCTAAAGGAAATCATCAGAAGCAAGCAGGTGTTCTTCAAACTGCTAACGTGAATTGTCTATGCCATGCTACAATGTGGGATTCAGAAAAAGATGTTGAAATGTCTGAAAGGTCGGACACAGGCGAGAGCGTATCTGGAGACGGAGACCAACCAGACCTCCCTCATCCTTGGTCCTATCTCAGAGGATTTAGAGAAATAGGGCAAAAATTGAGCTTTAATTCATAAAGTGGCATCTGGCTGTTTTCATTAAAGGTTACTTTATACTTTAAGTAGTTTTTGGAGCGCATACTTTTTTACTTTTACTAGAGTAAAGAGGTCAGGTTGATACTTTAACTTTTACCAGAGTGTTTTTAAACTGCAGGATCTAAACTTCTACTGAAGTAACAAACGTTTGAACTTTAGACATCGCTGAGGATAACCTGAGCCCCTTAACTATAAGCTTTATCGAAATGGAAAGTTTTAAGCCTAGTCTTAAGTCTTAAATTAGTCATTAACAGAGATTATTACTGAAAGTTCAGACAGTAAAACTGATGAATAATCAGTGATTTTCACTCTCAGTCATCCAGGTCAGGATGAAACATGTAGTTAGAACTGAAGTCTGGATGAGAAGAGAAACATCTAGAAAGCTTCACCTCCTGCTGCTTAAACTGAAGCTTTCCAGCTCCTAACCAGCTGGTGGCGCTAATGCGCATCTGCAGGGTTTACAACCATCCAATAAAGTGAAGAAGAAGAAGAGGAGGAGGAAGAGGAGCAGTGGGAGGAAGGCTGAGGAAAGCTGTTTGCTCATCAGCTGATCCGTCACATGACTTCCAGTCTGTTGAGTTTCCTTCTCCTCACCGACCTGAAAGGTTCGGTTCTCCCCCGGGAAGGCATGAAGCTGCAGACCGAGTGACCAAGACACGCTGCCGGGTTCAACCAGCGAGCTGAGCCTGGTTCTGGTAGGTCTGAGCCGGGTTCTGGTGGGTCTGAGTCGGGGTTCTGGTGGGTCTGAGCCCGGGTTCTGGTGGGTCTGTGTCGGGGTTCTGGTAGGTCAGAGCCTGGGTTCTGGTATATGTGAGCTCGGATTCTGGTGGGTCTGAGCCCGGGTTCTGGTGGATCTGAGCCCGGGTTCTGGTGGATCTGAGCCTGGGTTCTGGTGGATCTGAGCCCGGGTTCTGGTGGGTCAGAGCCTGGGTTCTGGTGGATCTGAGCCTGGGTTCTGGTGGATCTGAGCCCGGGTTCTGGTGGGTCAGAGCCTGGGTTCTGGTGGGTCTGAGCCCAGGTTCTGGTGGATCTGAGCCCGGGCTCTGGTGGGTCTGAGCCCGGGTTCTGGTGGGTCTGTGCCGGGGTTCTGGTGGATCTGAGCCGGGGTTCTGGTGGGTCTGTGTCGGGTTCTGGTGGTTCTGAGCCGGGGTTCTGGTGGGTCTGAGCCCGGGTTCTGGTGGGTCTGAGCCGGGTTCTGGTGGTTCTGAGCCGGGGTTCTGGTGGGTCTGTGTCGGGTTCTGGTAGATCTGAGCCCGGGCTCTGGTGGGTCTGAGCCGGGTTCTGGTGGTTCTGAGCCGGGGTTCTGGTGGGTCTGAGCCCAGGGTTCTGGTGGGTCTGTGCCGGGGTTCTGATAGATCTGAGCCCGGGCTCTGGTGGGTCTGAGCCGGGTTCTGGTGGTTCTGAGCCGGGGTTCTGGTGGGTCTGTGTCGGGTTCTGGTAGATCTGAGCCCGGGCTCTGGTGGGTCTGAGCCCGGGTTCTGGTGGGTCTGTGCCGGGGTTCTGGTGGGTCTGTGCCGGGGTTCTGATAGATCTGAGCCCGGGCTCTGGTGGGTCTGAGCCGGGTTCTGGTGGTTCTGAGCCGGGGTTCTGGTGGGTCTGTGTCGGGTTCTGGTAGATCTGAGCCCGGGCTCTGGTGGGTCTGAGCCGGGTTCTGGTGGTTCTGAGCCGGGGTTCTGGTGGGTCTGTGCCGGGGTTCTGATAGATCTGAGCCCGGGCTCTGGTGGGTCTGAGCCGGGTTCTGGTGGTTCTGAGCCGGGGTTCTGGTGGGTCTGTGTCGGGTTCTGGTAGATCTGAGCCCGGGCTCTGGTGGGTCTGAGCCCGGGTTCTGGTGGGTCTGAGCCGGGGTTCTGGTGGGTCTGTGCCGGGGTTCTGATAGATCTGAGCCCGGGCTCTGGTGGGTCTGAGCCGGGTTCTGGTGGTTCTGAGCCGGGGTTCTGGTGGGTCTGTGTCGGGTTCTGGTAGATCTGAGCCCGGGCTCTGGTGGGTCTGAGCCCGGGTTCTGGTGGGTCTGTGCCGGGGTTCTGGTGGGTCTGAGCCGGGGTTCTGGTGGGTCTGAGCCGGGGTTCTGGTGGGTCTGAGCAGGGGTTCTGGTGGGTCTGAGCCCGGGTTCTGAGCCCGGGTTCTGGTGGGTCTGAGCCGGGTTCTGGTGGGTCTGAGCCCGGGTTCTGGTGGGTCTGAGCCCGGGTTCTGGTGGGTCTGAGCCCGGGTTCTGGTAGGTCTGAGCCGGGGTTCTGGTAGGTCTGAGCCGGGGTTCTGGTAGGTCTGAGCCGGGTTCTGGTGGGTCTAATCAGCACCAACATGGCGGCCAATGGGTTGTCTTTTTTCTGCCATCCAGGTAATAAATAGAGGTCCGTGGTTTGGGAGGAGGAGCAGGAGGAACAGGAAGTGGGAGAGAGCTTTGGGTTCTCCAGCCTCCATCTTGGCTCCCTCTAGATGATTAAACAGTAGAGCTTCTCCAGGGCTAGCTTAGCCTTAGCTGGTGGTAGCATGTAGCTGCTATGATTGTAGCAGAGCCAAGTTAATCTTCTGGCTTCAGGTGTTGCAGTTTTAGTTGTAGATGTTATAAATAAATGAATAAACTTCAGTAAACATGAGGAGATAGCCAGTGTTTGATTGTGTTCCAGTATTTGTGCTTCTCCATGTGAAGAAAGCTTCTGTGAACTTCTTGTCTTCTCCACAGACGTCTCCTAACTGGAAGAGATCTTTCAAAATGGGTCCAGAAGGAAAGAAGCTCCTGAACATCATCATCCTGGGCTTTGGCTTCATGTTCATGTTTACTGCTTTTCAGACATGTGGAAACATAGAGGTGGGTTAGTTTCCATGTGCTGGTCCTGGACCAGCAGAGTGAGCTCCTCCCCCTTACTTGCTGTTTCTTCTTCTTGTGTTTTTAGCAAACGGTGATCAAGAGCTTCAACAGCACCGAGTTTCATGGGAGCGGCTATACCAGGTAAGCTGTTGGTAGGGAGGCTCATGGAGGGACCATGGTGTCTGTGAGGAACCAGCACCATGGACAGTGCTCCAACTCCAACCACCTATCATCCATCAATCATCCATCCATCCATCCTTCCATCAATCATCCATCCATCCAGATATCATCTATCCATCAATCCTTCCATCAATCATCCATCCATCCATCCATCCATCAATCCTTCCATCAATCCTTCCATCCATCCATCCATCATCTATCCATCCATCCATCCATCATCCATCCATCAATCCTTCCATCAATCCTTCCATCCATCCATCCATCATCTATCCATCCATCCATCCATCATCCATCCATCAATCCTTCCATCAATCCTTCCATCCATCCATCCATCATCCATCCATCATCCATCCTTCCATCAATCATCCATCCATCCAGCTATCATCCATCCATCAATCATCCATCCATCCATCCATCCATCAATCCTTCCATCAATCATCCATCCATCCATCAATCATCCATCCATCCATCCAGCTATCATCTATCCATCCATCCATCATCCATCCATCCATCATCCATCCTTCCATCAATCATCCATCCATCCATCAATCATCCATCCATCCATCATCCATCCATCCATCCATCAATCCTTCCATCAATCATCCATCCATCATCTATCCATCTATCCAGCTATCATCTATCCATCCATCCATCATCCATCCATCCATCCAGCTATCATCTATCCATCCATCCATCCATCTATCCAGCTATCATCCATCCATCCATCCATCATCCATCCATCCATCCAGCTATCATCTATCCATCCATCCATCCATCTATCCAGCTATCATCTATCCATCCATCCATCATCCATCCATCTATCCAGCTATCATCCATCCATCATCCATCCATCCATCCATCCAGCTATCATCTATCCATCCATCCATCATCCATCCATCCATCCATCCAGCTATCATCTATCTATCCATCCATCCATCCATCCATCCATCCAGCTATCATCTATCCATGCATCCATAATCCATCTATCATCCATCCATCTATCATCCATCTATCATCCATCCATCCATTCATCTATCATCCATCCATCCAGCTATCATCCATCCATCCATCATCCATCCATCCATCCAGCTATCATCCATCCATCCATCCATCCATCCATCCATCATCCATCCATCCATCCATCCATCCATCCATCCAGCTATCATCTATCCATGCATCCATAATCCATCTATCATCCATCATCCATCTTTCATCCATCATCCATCCATCCATCAATCATCCATCCATCTATCATCCATCCATCCATCCATTCATCTATCATCCATCCATCCATCCATTCATCTATCATCCATCCATCTATCATCCATCCATCATCCATCCATCCATCCATCAATCATCCATCTATCATCCATCATCCATCTTTCATCCATCAATCATCCATCCATCTATCATCCATCCATCCATTCATCTATCATCCATCCATCCATTCATCTATCATCCATCCATCCATCATCCATCCATCCATCCATCCAGCTATCATCTATCAATCCATCCATCATCCATCCAGCTATCATCTATCAATCCATCCATCCATCAATCATCCATCTATCATCTATCCATCCATAATCCATCTATCATCCATCCATCTATCATCCATCATCCATCTTTCATCCATCTTTCATCAATCATCCATCCATTCATCTATCATCCATCCATCAATCATCCATCCATCCATTCATCTATCATCCATCCATCCATCCATCATCCATCCAGCTATCATCCATCCATCCATCCATCCATCCATCCAGCTATCATCTATCAATCCATCCATCCATCTATCATCTATCAATCCATCCATCATCCATCCATCCAGCTATCATCCATCCATCCATCCATCAATCCATCTATCATCTATCCATCAATCCATCTATCCATCCATCTATCATCCATCCATCAATCCATCATCCATCCATCTATCATCCATCCATCCATTCATCTATCATCCATCCATCTATCATCCATCCATCCATCCATCCATCCATCATCCATCCATCCAGCTATCATCCATCCATCCATCATCCATCCATCCATCCATCATCCATCCATCCATCCAGCTATCATCTATCCATGGATCCATAATCCATCTATCATCCATCCATCTATCATCCATCATCAATCTTACATCCATCATCCATCCATCCATCAATCATCCATCCATCTATCATCCATCCATCCATCCATCCATTCATCTATCATCCATCCATCCATTCATCTATCATCCATCCATCTATCATCCATCCATCATCCATCCATCCATCCAGCTATCATCCATCCATCAATCCATCATCCATCCATCTATCATCCATCCATATATCCATCCATCCATCAATCCATCATCCATCCATCTATCATCAATCCATCAATCCATCATCCATCCATCCATCCATCTATCATCCATCTATCATCCATCCATCATCCATCCATCTATCATCCATCCATCTATCCATCCATCCATCATCCATCCATCTATCATCCATCCATCAATCCATCATCCATCCATCTATCATCCATCCATCTATCCATCCATCTATCATCCATCCATCTATCCATCCATCTATCATCCATCCATCTATCCATCCATCTATCATCCATCCATCTATCATCCATCCATCTATCATCCATCCATCTATCCATCCATCCATCAATCCATCATCCATCCATCTATCATCCATCCATCTATCATCCATCCATCCATCAATCCATCATCCATCCATCTATCATCCATCCATCTATCCATCTATCCATCCATCCATCAATCCATCATCCATCCATTTCTACACCTCTGTAATCAGAAGCAGAGGATAAAAGAAAAATGGAGGATATTATGGTAAACGTTGATAGAAGCAGACATGCTAGCAGTTAGCCTGGTAGATGGAGAAGCTTATGACCTTCATGGAGCCAAGATCTAACATTCCTCTGAGAGCAACAGGTTTAAAGCTCTGCTACCAGAAGAAAGGTGGAGTCCACTTCATCCGCTTCCTGTTTAGCATTAGGATCCCATGCAGGTTGTGCTTCATCGTAGATGCTCCTTTCTGGTTTTGGATGTAGAAGTTGGAGCTGAAGCATTCTGATGATGATGGTAAAGGATGAAGAACCTCCTGATGGTTTAGATTGTTTAGAGAAAACTGCAGATGTTTGCACAGTGGGCGTGACTGTATCCACCTGACCGAGGTCTCCTGGCATCTGATCATTCATCTGAAGGTCAACCAGATAAGGTTCAGGATGTTTCTGACCAGCTTCCTCTCCCCTGACAGCATGGCCATCATTTATGGAGTCTTCTCTGCATCCAACCTGGTGGCCCCCTCTGTGGTGACGGTCATTGGGCCCCAGGTCTCCATGTTCCTCAGCGGCCTGTTGTACAGGTTGGTCTCCTCACAGTGACACAGCTGAAGCTTCCTGGGTAGCAGCAGAGCGCTAACAAGTCTCTGTATCATCCTTCACAGCGGCTACATCGCCATGTTCATCCACCCATTCACCTGGAGCTTCTACACGGCGTCTGTGTTGGTGGGAATCGCTGCTGCAGGTAGAGCGAGGCGCCAATCGACCCAGAAGCTCCTCTGCCTCTTGGTTGTGGTGTTAATGTTTTGCTCTGGTCTCCAGTTCTGTGGACGGCGCAGGGAAACGTTCTGACCATAAACTCCACCGACAGAACCATCGGCAGGAACAGCGGCATATTCTGGTCGCTGCTGCAGTTCAGGTAAAGCTGACAGTAGAACTTAGGCCAAGTTCATAGTTACTAGGCCATGAACAGGTCCTACCTCAACATGAGGAGGAACCCATGAGGCGATGAACAGGTCCTACCTCAACATGAGGAGGAACCCATGAGGCGATGAACAGGTCCTACCTCAAAATGAAGAGGAACCCATGAGGCGATGAACAGGTCCTACCTCAACATGAGGAGGAACCCATGAGGCGATGAACAGGTTCTACCTCAACATGAGGAGGAACCCATGAGGCGATGAACAGGTCCTACCTCAACATGAGGAGGAACCCATGAGGCGATGAACAGGTCCTACTTCAACATGAGGAGGAACCCATGAGGCGATGAACAGGTCCTACCTCAACATGAGGAGGAACCCATGAGGCGATGAACAGGTCCTACCTCAACATGAGGAGGAACCCATGATGAGGAAGAACCCATGAGATGATGAACAGGTTCTACCTCAACATGAGGAAGAACCCAGGATGAGGAAGAACCCATGAGATAATGAACAGGTTCTACCTCAACATGAGGAGGAACCCATGAGGCGATGAACAGGTCCTACCTCAACATGAGGAGGAACCCATGAGGCGATGAACAGGTCCTACCTCAACATGAGGAGGAACCCATGAGGCGATGAACAGGTCCTACCTCAACATGAGGAGGAACCCATGAGGCGATGAACAGGTCTTACCTCAACATGAGGAGGAACCCATGATGAGGAAGAACCCATGAGACGATGAACAGGTTCTAGCTCAACATGAAGAGGAACCCATGGCGAGGAATAACCCATGAGACGATGAACAGGTTCTACCTCAACATGAGGAGGAACCCATGAGGCGATGAACAGGTCCTACCTCAACATGAGGAGGAACCCATGAGGCGATGAACAGGTCCTACCTCAACATGAGGAGGAACCCATGAGGCGATGAACAGGTCTTACCTCAACATGAGGAGGAACCCATGATGAGGAAGAACCCATGAGACGATGAACAGGTTCTACCTCAACATGATGAGGAACCCATGATGAGGAAGAACCCATGAGACGATGAACAGGTTCTACCTCAACATGAGGAGGAACCCATGAGGCGATGAACAGGTCCTACCTCAACATGAGGAGGAACCCATGAGGCGATGAACAGGTCTTACCTCAACATGAGGAGGAACCCATGATGAGGAAGAACCCATGAGACGATGAACAGGTTCTACCTCAACATGAGGAGGAACCCATGAGATGATGAACAGGTCCTACCTCAACATGAGGAGGAACCCATGAGGCGATGAACAGGTCCTACCTCAACATGAGGAGGAACCCATGAGACAATGAACATGTCCTACCTCAACATGAGGAGGAACCCATGAGACGATGAACATGTCCTACCTCAACATGAGGAGGAACCCATGAGGCGATGAACAGGTCCTACCTCAACATGAGGAGGAACCCATGAGACAATTAACATGTCCTACCTCAACATGAGGGGGAACCCATGAGGCGATGAACAGGTCCTACCTCCACATGAGGAGGAACCCATGAGACGAGGAACAGGTCCTACCTCAACACGAGGAGGAACCCATGAGGCGATGAAAAGGTCCTACCTCAACATGAGGAGGAACGCATGAGACGAGGAACAGGTCCTACCTCAACATGAGGAGGAACCCATGAGACGAGGAACAGGTCCTACCTCAACATGAGGAGGAACCCATGAGACGAGGAACAGGTCCTACCTCAACATGAGGAAGAACCCATGAGGCCATGAACAGGTCCTACCTCAACATGAGGAGGAACCCATGAGGCCATGAACAGGTCCTACCTCAACATGAGGAGGAACCCATGAGACGAGGAACAGGTCCTACCTCAACATGAGGAAGAACCCATGAGGCCATGAACAGGTCCTACCTCAACATGAGGAGGAACCCATGAGGCCATGAACAGGTCCTACCTCAACATGAGGAGGAACCCATGAGACGAGGAACAGGTCCTACCTCAACATGAGGAAGAACCCATGAGGCCATGAACAGGTCCTACCTCAACATGAGGAGGAACGCATGAGACGAGGAACAGGTCCTACCTCAACATGAGGAGGAACCCATGAGACGAGGAACAGGTCCTACCTCAACATGAGGAGGAACCCATGAGATGAGGAACAGGTCCTACCTCAACATGAGGAAGAACCCATGAGGCCATGAACAGGTCCTACCTCAACATGAGGAGGAACCCATGAGACGAGGAACAGGTCCTACCTCAACATGAGGAAGAACCCATGAGGCCATGAACAGGTCCTACCTGATAGAACAAGGATTCTAGACTTCATCTCCACCTGCTGACAGGTGATTTCTCCTAAATAGATACATTGATCCACCATCATTCAAGAAAAACACCTGTAATGTTATCATGGTCACAACAAACTATGAGAAGCTGTTTTTATATGTATTTGTTTGCCTGAATATGTTTCAAACTTGATAAATAAACATTTAATCAAGCTGATGAAGGTTAAAATGTGTAAATATTTCTAGGTATATAAAACTTAATTCCTGGTGGGATAATTTAGTTTTTACTTTTTGCTACAAAAATGTAATTTAGAAAATATGTTATTACAGTTCTGACTAGGTCAATTTGATATTAAAGGATCTTATTTTACTGATCTACAAATGGAACAACAGAGAGGAGAGTGCTTTTAATAAATGTAAAAACGGCTTGCCATAGCCCACTTCATATAAACCTTCGCCTTAACTTGAGCAACAATCTTCTCCTCCACCATCTTCCGCTCCTGTACAGCTGTAGCGCTGTTTCTGTCTTTTAAACACATTCTTCAATCGTTTTAATTTCTTTATTAAATCTGTGGTTCTAGTAGGGTGAAATAGGCACTTCCTGTTGTCACGGTGACTCGTCGATTCGGGGGTCCAATGATAATGGCTTTTCATCCTTGTTGCTCACGTGCTAAACTCTGAGTTAGAGTTAATTAAATTAATTCACAGCAGCTTTTATGAAACTGAAGAGTTTCCAACTTTAGGCTAGATTTTTTAAAAGTTGCTTGATGAAGCAGACCTCAGGTTTTCGTCCATATTTACGTTGTTTGCTGGTTTAATGAGCTTCTTTCTCTCTACAGTTTGTTCTTCGGGAACCTCTACATCTACCTCGCCTGGCAAGGACACGAGCGCATCTCTGGTAGGAAACCAGCTCTCATGCTGCTCTGACTCAGCCTTCAGCTCATCACAACCATCTGACTCACCTCTCTCTCAGACATGGACCGCAGGACCGTCTTCATCTCGCTCACTGTCATTAGCTTAGTTGGCTGCTTCCTGTTTTTCCTGATCCGGAAGCCCGACCCGGAGGCCTCTTCACGTTCTGAGGTGACAGAGTCTCTGCTGCAGACAGACTCTGCAGACGGCTCCACAGACAGGTGAGCTTCTGATTGACCACAGGTCGTTTAGGTGTTCTCAGACCCAAAGCCCAGGCAGAGGGAGAGATAAATGGCTGAAGCTCTTCTGCCGAACTCCCAGAATCTGGGTTTGCTCCTCTCTGCCCAGCAGAGCAGCAACGTTATGGAGTTAATGAAAACGGTTCCCCGCCCACCAACGCCTCCTCCATCCTTCATGGTCTTTACTGCAGAGCAGCTTAGCACTTCACAGAACCTGGAGCTTAGCTCGCTGGTGACCTGCAGATGCAGTTAGCTTTGGTTTTCACTAATGTCTAACGCTGGTTTGCAACTGAGCTGAGCCAGAAAGGAGCAGAGAGTGGAATCTGAGAAAGACACGTTGCTTCTAAATGGTCAGAATCAGAACATTATCCCTACAAACAGGCATGGTGGTGGCTGTATGATGCCAGCAGCTTCTGTGTCTACAGTCTACCTTAACAGTCTGCATTAACAGTTTACAATAAGTCTGCATTAACAGCCTGCTTTATGTCTACATTGTCAAAGGGATCAATGCTTGACAGTGTCCTGGTTCACTCGGGTCGTCCTGAGTTTTCTAGTTGTGGTGGGTTTCCTGCTCTAGCTCCAGCATAGGTCCAGTCTAGCTCCAGGTCCAGTCTAGCTCCAGGTCCAGTCAAGCTCCAGGTCCAGTCTAGCACCAGGTCCAGGTCCAGCCTGGGTCCAGTCTAGCACCAGATCCAGTCTAGCTCCAGGTCCGGTCTAGCTCCAGGTCCGGTCTAGCTCCAGGTCCGGTCTAGCTCCAGGTCCGGTCAAGTTCCATTTCCGGTCAAGTTCCAGGTCCAGTCTAGCACCAGGTCCAGTCTAGCTCCAGGTCCAGTCTAGCTCCAGGTCCAGTCTAGCTCCAGGTCCAGTCTAGCTCCAGGTCCGGTCTAGCTCCAGGTCCAGTCTAGCTCCAGGTCCGGTCTAGCACCAGGTCCAGTCTAGCTCCAGGTCCAGTCTAGCTCCAGGTCCAGTCTAGCTCCAGGTCCGGTCTAGCACCAGGTCCAGTCTAGCTCCAGGTCCAGTCTAGCTCCAGGTCCAGTCTAGCTCCACGTCCAGTCTAGCTCCAGGTCCGGTCTAGCACCAGGTCCAGTCTAGCTCCAGGTCCAGTCTAGCTCCAGGTCCAGTCTAGCTCCACGTCCAGTCTAGCTCCACGTGCGGTCTAGCTCCAGGTCCGGTCTAGCTCCAGGTCCAGTCTAGCTCCAGGTCCGGTCTAGCACCAGGTCCGGTCTAGCACCAGGTCCGGTCTAGCTCCAGGTCCGGTCTAGCACCAGGTCCAGCACCAGGTCCAGTCTAGCTCCAGGTCAAGTCTAGCACCAGGTCCAGTCTAGCACCAGGTCCAGCACCAGGTCCAGTCTAGCTCCAGGTCCAGTCTAGCTCCAGATCCAGTTTAGCACCAGGTCCAGTCTAGCACCAGGTCCAGTCTAGCACCAGGTCCAGTCTAGCTCCAGGTCCAGTCTAGCTCCAGGTCCAGTCTAGCTCCAGGTCCAGTCTAGCACCAGGTCCATTCTAGCTCCAGGTCCAGTCTAGCTCCAGGTCCAGTCTAGCACCAGGTCCAGTCTAGCACCAGGTCCAGTCTAGCACCAGGTCCAGTCTAGCACCAGGTCCAGCCTAGCTCCAGGTCCAGTCTAGCACCAGGTCCAGTCTAGCACCAGGTCCAGCGTGGGTCCAGTCTAGCACCAGGTCCAGTCTAGCTCCAGGTCCAGTCTAGCACCAGGTCCAGCGTGGGTCCAGTCTAGCACCAGGTCCAGTCTAGCTCCAGGTCCAGTCTAGTTCACGGTCCAGTCTAGCACCAGGTCCAGTCTAGCTCCAGTTCCAGTCAGGCACCAGGTCCAGTCTAGCTCCAGGTCCAGTCTAGTTCACGGTCCAGTCTAGCACCAGGTCCAGTCTAGCTCCAGGTCCAGGTCCAGCCTGGGTCCAGTCTAGCACCAGGTCCAGTCTAGCTCCAGGTCCAGTCTAGCTCCAGGTCCAGTCTAGCAACAGGTCCAGTCAAGCTCCGGGTCCAGTCTAGCTGCAGGTCCAGTCTGGGTCCAGGTCCAGTCTAGCTCCAGGTCCAATCTAGTTCACGGTCCAGTCTAGCACCAGGTCCAGTCTAGCTCCAGGTCCAGTCTAGCTCCAGGTCCAGGTCCAGCCTGGGTCCAGTCTAGCACCAGGTCCAGCACCAGGTCCAGTCTAGCTCCAGGTCCAGTTTAGCACCAGGTCCAGTCTAGCTCCAGGTCCAGTCTGGGTCCAGTCTAGTTCACGGTCCAGTCCCGCCATAATGTGTAGCTGAGGTGGAGGCCCGGGCTGCTACACGCCGTGACCGCCTCAGCTGTCATTATAGGATCCAGGTCAGAACCTACATGTGGAACAAGACAAGTTCCCAAGTTATACAGACCAACCAAAACCTGACTGAGCCTAGCTGTTCTCTGTCGGTGGGTTTGTTCCTCCTGAGGAGGATTCTGGTGATGGGGGAAGATGTGTCCCTCTGTTGGGGAAAGGACAGAACACGGATTGTCCCATCGTCAGACATTTGTCTCAGACTGAGGGATGCGGCTTTAGAGCAAAACGTTTCCTGGAAAACATGAAGAATAAAATGTGGATGAAGGAAAACTGTGGTTCTTCTGTCTCTGCAGCTCCTGCCAGGCGGGTCTATGCTCCCAGGCTCTGGATGCTTTTGGTAGGATCACTGAAGCACCTCCCACTGCTCCCACTGCTCCCACTGCTGCTCCTTACCTTCTGCTTTCCTTTCCAGTTCAAGCCTGTAAAATATCTGTGACCAAAGAGATGCTGCTGCTGAGCGTCTCCATCGGATACACAGGTGGGTGAACCTGGAGGAACACCTCAGCATTATAAACCCGCCCCGTCTGTTCTGCTTGACATAACCAGTGCTGCCCCCTTCTGGCCGAGCTGGGGAGGGGCGTCAGCCTCAATCTGTATAAAAACATTTTCTGTAGATTTTTTTCTTCATGTTAAACTCAGCAGCTCCTTTGCTTCCTGCCTTTGATTGGTGGACAGACTGATTGATGTCCTGCCAGGTGGATGATAACCAGATGTTCTCTCCCAGGTCTGGAGCTGACCTTCTACAGCGGTGTGTATGGGACCTGTATCGGAGCCATGACTCGCTTTGGGTCCGATGCCAAGAGTCTGATCGGTCTCTCTGGAATCTGTATCGGCATTGGAGAGATCCTGGGTGAGCTGCCGTTGCTGCTGAAGCTCTGCAGAGAGGCGGTCTGCAGCGTCCCACTCTTTGCCACCTTGTTTCTGTCCAGGAGGGGGCGTCTTCGGGATGCTGAATAAAAACAAGCGCTTTGGGAGGAACCCCGTGGTGCTGCTGGGACTCATCACTCACTTTGTTGCCTTCTTCCTGATTTTCCTGAACATCGCCAGCGATGCTCCGCTGGCACCAGAAGGCGGGACGGATCTGAAGGCTTTCATCACACCCAGGTAGGAGGACACGGAGAACGCGCTTCTCTGCAGGTTCTGGTTCAGTCAGGTCTCTCCGGCTGCCTTAGAATGGAGAGACTGGACAGAACCAACAATTGGGTCGCTGTTACCCCCCTGCGGGTTTGGACCTGTTGGCCGTTCTGAACCCGTTCTTCTTGGTTTCCAGCGTCGGGGTGGCGCTGTTCTGCAGCTTCCTGCTGGGTCTGGGCGACAGCTGCTTCAACACGCAGCTCCTCAGCATCATCGGCTTCACCTTTCCAGACAACAGCGCCCCCGCCTTCGCCGTCTTCAAGTTCATCCAGGTGATGGGTCCGGGGACGGGTCACTCCGGGTAAAATGTGGTTCTGACTAACGGTCTCTGTTCCTCTTCCCTGCAGTCCATCATGGCCGCCGTGGCCTTCTTCTACAGTAACTTCCTGCTGCTCCACTGGCAGCTGCTCATCCTCGTCATTGTCGGCTTCCTGGGATCCGTCACGTTTTTCGTAGCCGAGTGGGTCACTGAGTCCAGGAGGAGGGATTCCGACTATGACAGCATCTGAAACGGGGCGACTAGATCTGCCGGACCAGAACCGATACCAGCCAGCGGCGGGAATCGAACAAAAGGGACAATCGCTGCGGCCGGTTCCAGCCGGTTTGCTCTCATGCTAACTTAGACACTTTGCTTGATGGGTGGAGGGAAAATATGTTTGATTAAAAAATGATTTCATGTGATGGTGGACCTGCTGCAGACAGAAGGTCTGAGTGGGCCCAGTCCAGACCAGTTCAGTCCAGTTCAGGTCAGCCCAGTTCAACCCAGTTTAACCCAGTTCAGCTTAGTTCAGCCCAGTTCAGTCGAGTTCAGCCCAGTTAAGTCCAATTCAGCCCCGTTCAGTTCAGCCCAGTTCAACCCAGTTTAAACCAATTCAGTCCAGTTTGATCCCTCTCCTAAGTTAAGCCCTTGATAAAAGGATCTTTCCTCTGCTCACACCAGAACCAGTTTTATGGCACCAGAACCGGTTTTATGGCACCAGAACCATTTTTATGGTACCAGAACCAGTTTTATGGTACCAGAACCGGTGAAATCGGTGGTCCAGCATGAAGACTGGATCCAGTTGATCCATCTTGACATGAAAACATCAAATGAAATCAGGAACTGGACCAAAGCAGGACTGATTCCCTGAGTCTGCAGGAACCAGATTAAAGGAACCTTCCATTCCACTTGGTCCAATTGGCAAAAAGTTCAGAACCTTCTAGACGGACTGGAGGCTACAGGAGTACCCAGGAACCGTGACCCATTTCCTCATCAAACCTGATAACTGGTTCTGGACTGGGCCCAGATGGAAGCAGCGTGGTACCGGTCCGAGAAACACAGATCCATTTCCGGCTGGGAGGAACCAGCCGATTCTGTGACCCAGTTAGACCAGAACAGGTTATCCATCATCAGTCTGATGGTTTGCTGTGGTTCTTGGGACTGGTTCTGTCCGGTTTATTTTGGTCGATAAGGGAAATAAGTGATGATGACGATTTTATACTTAAAATGTGTTGATGAAGAAAGGAGCGCTTGTTTTTATGACCAATAAAATTAGGTTCTGAAAGCGGGCCGCCTGTTTGTCTGCTTGTAAAAAGGTTACAGAGCCTAGACCCCCCCCCCCCCCCCCCCCCCCCCCAGCACCCAGGGTGGGGCAGAGGCCCGGCTGGGGCTCCGTCACCTCCGGGTTTGGTTCTGTTGGTCTATGGGACAAAACCCAACAGAATCTGCGTAGAACCAAGCAGATATTTGAATGTTCGTAACAGTAACCCCTCCAGTTCTGGGATCCATTTTGATACAAATATCAGTCCTCAGAACCTCATTAGAATCAAAACCTCATTAAAATCAGAACCTCATTAGAATAAGAACCTCATTAAAATCAGAACCTCAGTGGATCAGAACCTCAGAGCATCAGAACCTCAGAGCATCAGAACCTCAGAGGATCAGAACCTCAGAGGATCAGAACCTCAGAGCATCAGAACCTCAGTGGATCAGAACCTCAGAGCATCAGAACCTCAGAGCATCAGAACCTCAGAGGATCAGAACCTCAGAGCATCAGAACCTCAGTGGATCAGAACCTCAGTGGATCAGAACCTCAGAGCATCAGAACCTCAGTGGATCAGAACCTCAGAGCATCAGAACCTCAGAGGATCAGAACCTCAGAGCATCAGAACCTCAGTGGATCAGAACCTCAGAGCATCAGAACCTCAGTGGATCAGAACCTCAGAGCATCAGAACCTCAGTGGATCAGAACCTCAGAGGATCAGAACCTCAGTGGATCAGAACCTCAGAGCATCAGAACCTCAGAGGATCAGAACCTCAGTGGATCAGAACCTCAGAGCATCAGAACCTCAGTGGATCAGAACCTCAGTGGATCAGAACCTCAGAGGATCAGAACCTCAGAGCATCAGAACCTCAGTGGATCAGAACCTCAGAGCATCAGAACCTCAGAGCATCAGAACCTCAGTGGATCAGAACCTCAGAGCATCAGAACCTCAGAGGATCAGAACCTCAGTGGATCAGAACCTCAGTGGATCAGAACCTCAGAGCATCAGAACCTCAGTGGATCAGAACCTCAGAGCATCAGAACCTCAGAGGATCAGAACCTCAGTGGATCAGAACCTCAGAGCATCAGAACCTCAGAGGATCAGAACCTCAGAGCATCAGAACCTCAGTGGATCAGAACCTCAGAGCATCAGAACCTCAGAGGATCAGAACCTCAGAGCATCAGAACCTCAGAGGATCAGAACCTCAGAGCATCAGAACCGGCATCAGGAGGATTTCATTCAGTCAGCGCTTTGAACAGAACCATCGATCAGAGAAACTATTAGCAGAACTAAAAACCTCTCAGACTGGATCCAGGTCCAAAGACAAAGATTCTGCTGGGAAACCCTCTGATCTCTGGACCCTTTAATAGCGACTGCTCTGAGGGAGCGAGACGCCGGGTCGGACCGGTCCGGGTCAGGTCAGTCAGGGTCTGACTGAATCCTGAATTGAAGCCCACTGGCGGCATATGGTCTGACTAGATGAGCATCAGAGTTCTGCTTCTTCTGCAGGTGATGAAGCTGTGACTGCCTCATGGAGGTCAGAGGTCAAAGCGCAACGAGCCTGATTCTGATCAGAGGAGACGTTGCTGCCTCTAGTGGAGATGAGACCAGCGTGTAGTTTAACCCTAGAAGGTGCCCAGCAGTCATCCAATAATAATACTAGAATTGATTATTAGTTTTATTCCTGTTTTATTATCCATCATATTTTCAGCTGATCCACTTTGTTCAAACGTGAAAAATAAAACCTGTTAGAGCAGAACCACAGAAACCTGACAGATTTCTTCTGTTTGCTTCCGACCCATTTGCTGGCCCAGTTCTAGCCGGTTGGAGATGAACCAGTTTCATTCCAGTGTTTACTGCAGAACCGGAACCATCATCATCATTATTGCTTTATTTTTGTCCTGGACTGTGAAACATGTCAGAAACCTCTAAAACATTCATCTGACAAAACCTGAAAATCTGGGATCTTCTGACCCAAACAGACGGGTTCTCTCAAGGGCCGGCTCTGTTAGAGCGATCCGGTTCTGATTGTGGTTCCAGTTCTGTTTCAAATCAACAACAAATGCAGCTTTGCCGTTACTTGTTGCTTAGCAACCGCAAACGCTCTAGGTTGTCAACGTGGGCTTGTTCCGCCTGAAGAGTCTACTTCCTGTTTACTTTGCAAAATAAAAGTACGGCAGCAATAAGGAGTCTGAAATCTATTACAAGAAGTGAAGCTGTTAGAATCTATAAAGGGTTGAGGGTTAACCATCATTCATCATTCATTCATCCATCCATCCATCATCCATCCATCATCCATTCATCCATTCATCCATCATCCATTCATCATCTATCCATCATCCATTCATCCATCCATCATCCATCCATCATCCATCCATCATCCATCCATCCATCATCCATCCATCATCCATTCATCCATCCATCCATCATCCATCCATCCATCATTCATCCATCCATCCATCCATCATCCATTCATCCATCATTCATCATCCATTCATCATCCATCCATCATCCATCATCATCCATCATCCATCATCCATCCATCCATCATCCATCCATCCATCTATCCATCCATCATTCATCCATCCATCCATCCATCCATCCATTCATTCATCATTCATCATCCATCATCCATCCATCATCCATCCATCCATCCATCATCCATCCATCATCCATCCATCATCTATCCATCCATCCATCATCCATTCATCCATCCATCCATCCATCATTCATCCATCCATCCATCCATCATCCATTCATCCATCAATCCATCCATCCATCCATCATCATCATCCATCCATCCATCATCATCCATCCATCCATCATCCATCATCATCCATCATCATCCATCCATCCATCATCCATCCATTCATCCATCCATCATCCATCCATCCATCCATCATCCATCCATCCATCCATCATCCATCCGTCATCCATCCATCCATCCATCCATCCATCCATCATCCCTCCATCATCCATCATCATCCATCCATCCATCATCCATCCATTCATCCATCCATCATCCATCCATCCATCCATCATCCATCCATCCATCCATCATCCATCCGTCATCCATCCATCCATCCATCCATCATCCATCCATCATCCATCCATCCATCATCCATCCATCATCCATCCACCCATTCATCCATCATCCATCCATCATCCATCCATCCATCCATCATCCATCCATCCATCCACCATCCATCCATCCATCCGTCATCCATCCATCCATCATCATCCATCCATCCATCATCCATCATCATCCATCATCATCCATCCATCCATCATCCATCCATTCATCCATCCATCATCCATCCATCCATCCATCATCCATCCATCCATCCATCATCCATCCGTCATCCATCCATCCATCCATCATCCATCCATCATCCATCCATCCATCATCCATCCATCATCCATCCACCCATTCATCCATCATCCATCCATCATCCATCCATCCATCCATCATCCATCCATCCATCCACCATCCATCCATCCATCATCCATCCATCCATCCATCATCCATCCATCCATCCATCCATCCATCCATCATCCATCCATCCATCATCCATCATCCATCCATCATCCATCCATCCATCCATCATCCATCATCCATCCATCCATCCATCCATCCATCCATCCATCCATCATCCATCCATCATCCATTCATCCATTCATCCATCATCCATCCATCCATCCATCCATCCATCATCCATCCATCATCCATCCATCATCAAATCCATCCATCATCCATCCATCCATCATCAATCCATCCATCATCAATCCATCCATCATCCATCCATCATCCATCCATCATCCATCCATCCATCCATCCATCCATTCATCCATCATCCATCCATCATCCATCCATCCATCATCCATCCATCCATCCATCATCCATCCATCCATCCATCATCCATCCATCCATCCATCCATCCATCATCCATCCATCCATCATCCATCCATCCATCCATCCATCCATCCATCATCCATCCATCCATCATCCATCCATCCATCCATCCATCCATCCATCCATCATCCATCCATCATCCATCCATCCATCCATCCATCCATCCATCCATCATCCATCCATCCATGCATCATCATCCATCCATCCATCCATCCATCCATCCATCATCCATCATCCATCCATCCATCCATCCATCCATCATCCATCCATCATCCATCCATCCATCCATCCATCATCCATTCATCCATCATCCATCCATCATCCATTCATCCATCCATCATCCATCCATCCATCCATCCATCATCCATCCATCATCCATTCATCCATCCATCCATCATCCATCATCCATCCATTCATCATCCATCCATCCTTCCATCCATCATCCATCCATCCATCCATCCATCATCCATCCATCCATTCATCCATCCATCCATCCATCATCCATTCATCCATCCATCCATCATCCATCCATCCATCCATCCATCCATCCATCCATCATCCATCCATCATCCATCCATCCATCCATCCATCATCCATTCATCCATCATCCATCCATCATCCATTCATCCATCCATCATCCATCCATCCATCCATCCATCATCCATCCATCATCCATTCATCCATCCATCCATCATCCATCATCCATCCATCCATCATCCATCCATCCTTCCATCCATCATCCATCCATCCATCCATCCATCATCCATCCATCCATTCATCCATCCATCCATCCATCATCCATTCATCCATCCATCATCATCCATCCATCCATCCATCCATCCATCCATCCATCCATCCATCATCCATCCATCCATCCATCCATCCATCCATCCATCCATCCATCCATCCTGTAGCTCAGGGCCCTGATTGGTCCTTGTCTCCTGTCCAGCAGAGGACGGAGGACCGTTCCAGATAACAATCTGTCCTCTAATAGCAAAGAACTCAGGTCCCCACATCTATCAGACTAGATTAAATTAGATAGATCTATAGATTGGAGAGATTAGCAGATTGGATTCACTGTTTATTGTTTCTTAAGTTCACATGAATATATAAAACAAAAAATGTTTTATTTTTTTCAGTAAATTTGATCAGTTGTTTTTAGTGCAGTTTATTTCTGTAACTCGACTTCACATCATCGATTCATAGATCCAGATAAACCAGATCATCCAGTCAGGTTTACTCTGCAGCATAACTTATTCCCAGCATTTCAATCCTCTATGAACAAATGAAACTGTAGACATGAGGTTTATTGTGAAAGGTCAGTCATCTGTTTCCGGTGAGTTTTACTCGCTGTTAACGGTTGGATGAAAGTTGTGGAGGAGTTGCTCACTAACGGTTCGGTAGGTAAAGCTTAGCGTCGGTCCAAACATGGATCGGAACATCAGCCTGTGGGAGCTGCTGGAGGAGTCCCTGGGAACCACCCACATCGGCTCGGTCAACTTCAGCGCCCTCCACGCGCTGCTGCAGGCGGTGCTGCAGCAGCTGGACCTCCGGGAGGTGAAGACCAGCTGGAGCCTCCCAGAGACCCAGGACTCTGCGTGGGACGGTACCGAGGGGTCCCGGTACCAGGTGAGCACTTCGGTTCTGAACCTCAGCTGGGCTGAGGCGGAGCAGAACCTGGACCAGTCCAGAACCTGCTGGTTCTGGTCCACTGGGTTCTACCAGCAGGCCAGCCGTTTCCATGGTAACCTCTTTTTATTGTGGAACTGTCAGAGACTCAATCTGCCATCATCTAGGAGCAGGGAGCGGTTAGGGTCTGGCTCAGGGACCCACTGTGGGAGTCAGAGACGCCCGGTACTGGTTCGGTTCCCCTGCAGCTTCTGACCCATCTGGGTTCAGTCCGGTTCGGCCCTCCTTCTCCTCCTCTTCTCCCTCCTCTTCTTCGCTACTTTTGGCTCCAGAGGGGAGGTCTGTCAATTAGGGTCCAAACGATTAATTGGATCAATTGATTAATGAACTAATAATTAAAAAACATTATAATTGATTAATGAACTAAAAATTAATTAATTTAATAATTGATTAATGAACTAAAAATTAATTAATTTAATAATTGATTAATGAACTAAAAATTAACTAATTTAATAATTGATTAATGAACTAAAAATTAACTAATTTAATAATTGATTAATGAACTAATAATGAACTAATTTAATAATTGATTAATGAACTAATAATGAACTAATTTAATAATTGATAAATTAACTAATTTAATAATTGATTAATGAACTAATTTAATAATTGATTAATGAACTGATTATGAACTAATTTAATAATTGATTAATGAACTAAAAATTTATTAATTTAATAATTGATTAATGAACTAATAATGAACTAATTTAATAATTGATAAATTAACTAATTTAATAATTGATTAATGAACTAATTTAATAGTTGATTAATTAACTAATAATGAACTAATTTAATAATTGATAAATTAACTAATTTAATAATTGATTAATGAACTAATTTAATAATTGATTAATGAACTAATAATGAACTAATTTAATAATTGATAAATTAACTAATTTAATAATTGATTAATGAACTAATAATGAACTAATTTAATAATTGATTAATTAACTAATAATGAACTAATTTAATAATTGATAAATTAACTAATTTAATAATTGATTAATGAACTAATTTAATAATTGATTAATGAACAGATTATGAACTAATTTAATAATTGATTAATGAACTAAAAATTTATTAATTTAATAATTGATTAATGAACTAAAAATTAACAAAATTCATAATTGATTAATGAACTAATAATGAACTAATTTTATAATTGATGAATTAACTAATAATGAACTAATTTAATAATTGATAAATTAACTAATTTAATAATTGATTAATGAACTAATTTAATAATTGATTAATGAACTAATAATGAACTAATTTTATAATTGATGAATTAACTAATAATGAACTAATTTAATAATTGATAAATTAACTAATTTAATAATTGATTAATGAACTAATTTAATAATTGATTAATGGTTTCCTGCAGACTGTAAATCAGGCCTTTATCCCACTGATAGCAGGAATTAAACCAAGAACATAAAATAACACAAACATTAAAGATAAAACAAACCTTTTCCATCCTTTAATCTGCTCCATAATCCAGAAAGTTTTAGTTTTAGGTTTAATTTCATTAAAAATCTTCTTTAAGGAACATTTGCTAAAAATAATGGTTAGTTACAGCCTGACTGCAAAGCATTCTGGGATATATCTGCTCGTGTAGTGAGCATACACACTATTCTGTTCGAAAACCTAGGACGGGTCCTCCAAGGACGTGGTCTACCTAGACTGGATCCTTCGAAGTCCTTGAAAATAAGGAGACCGGAAGAGTTTAGGCTGTGAATTCGACCGGGTCCACCCTTCGGCGGGTTTTACCGCCATATGCTCTGTTGCTTAGCAACCGTAAACGTTGACACACAAAGCAGGAAAAGAATGAATACAGAAGTTTTCAAAACTGTTTATTTATTTCTTTTTTATTGTGAAGTGAACAAAGACTACACTCACAAGAATCCAGAATGGAATAAATGTTCCAACCACCGGGAGCAGGAACAAATAAAATCAAATGTAATGATAGAAACCTTAGTAAGTTTAATAACCTGCTGCTGTCATTCTGCACATCTCTGATGTTGCTGCTATTTTCAAATATCCATTACTGGGAAAATATCCATAGCTGCATATTGGTTATTAATTCTCCAGTTTTATATTGTTAAAACACTTTACAGAATTATATTGTTTATATTTTAACTCTTCCCTATTATGTTATTCTTAGACATTTTTCTAAGGTCCTCATTTGTGTGACTATTTTCAATAATCTTTCTGCTGCTGTAAATTTGCCCATTGTGGAACAATAAAGGGATTTTCTATTCTATTCTATAAAAGGGGTAGAAATATATAAGTAAATCTAAACAATGTATTTATAAAAAATATATCTGCAAAATCTCTAATATTCAACAACAAAAAATACTTAGTTAAGTATATTGTGCAAAACAGCAATAAAAAGATAAAAATCCTATCAGATTTATAGTCCCCACCCTGCAGATATATTAGAATCTGTCCTTTAATTACAGCCAAACCCATTTAATCAGTAACAGATTAAAACCTTTAGATAAACCAAACATTACCGCCACATATCTGACTCTATAACCATTAAAACAACTATTTTTCATTAATCTCAGACGGAACTATTCACTGACTGGATTATATTAAACTGAACTTCCAATTTTCACCACTGTTCGGTGCCAAGTAACCTTTCCTCTGATCACGGCTTGCTTGGTCTCGCAATGAATGCTGGGATATCCAAGAATACCGAGGATACATCGGACCCGTCCTTCAAATCGGGCAAAAAGAAGGACGCATTTTAAGGCCGCATAACGAGGACTCTTGGAATCCGACCAGACCTCAGCGCCGCGCTATGACGTAATCGGCCTTCGAATCCGGTCTTCTAAGGATGCGTCCTAGGTTTTCGAACAGAGCCCATAAACGCAGATGCCTCATTGGACGCTGCCCAGCTGCGTAGAGGGCGACCATCTTGGATCAGACAGCTGCAGTCAGAATGAACAGGAGGCGCCTTAGAGCCCATTTTAATCCCATGAAAGACGAGTCAGAGATTATATTACAATAATCTCTGACATGTCAGAAACCCTTGTAGATTAAAAACTGTTTAAACTGAACGCAATCCTCAGCTCATCATCATCCAGATAAACATCCGGGTCGTCCTCCATTTTATTTTTAAAATGACCTAAATTACATTTTTCCCTCCCCAAAAATAATAAGCGTACTAAACTATAATGTGTTAAAGGTTAGTAATGTATTTCCTGATGAAATAAAAGCATTTTAATCCTTCCTGTTTCATCCCCTGTTCCTGATCTGTAGGAAATGGGATGCTAGGCTACTTCCAGGAGATAACTTTATCAGCTTTGGATTTAAACAGAAATCTAGTCTTTTATAGTTTAATGTTTTCCTTTCATGCTAACATTATGCTATATAGTGCGTAATCTAAAGAAAGAAACATCTAGAATGCAGATAAAGACGGTTTAATCAGATTTACTGCTCTGATCATGATGACGTCAGAGAAGCTGTTTAACAGAGAAAATGAAAAAAGCGTCAAAATTATCTCAGAAAAGTCAGAAAACATTTTTTAAAGATGTTTATTAGCAAATATTTAGTGAGTTAAGGATAGAAATAAGTTATTTTAGAAATATTATTGGTATGGAAAACTGGATGTATATCTGGTTACATAAATGATCCGATGGGGCGGATCGTGATCCCGGAGCGGATCGTGATCCCGGGGCGGATCGTGATCCCCGGGGCGGATCGTGATCCCGGGGCGGATCGTGATCCCCGGGGCGGATCGTGATCCCCGGGGCGGATCGTGATCCCCGATGCGGATCGTGATCCCGGAGCGGATCGTGATCCCGGGGCGGATCGTGATCCCCGGGGCGGATCGTGATCCCCGGGGCGGATCGTGATCCCCGATGCGGATCGTGATCCCGGGGCGGATCGTGATCCCGGGGCGGATCGTGATCCCCGGGGCGGATCGTGATCCCAGGGGCGGATCGTGATCCCCGGGGCGGATCGTGATCCCCGGGGCGGATCGTGATCGGAAGGGTAATGGCAGGTCGGACACAGCCCTGAATTTCTGTTTTCTTCTCTGCTCAGGCTGCAGCCCAGCAGCCAGAGATTTTGGCGGAGGTGAAGCGGTGCTGCCACCGTGTGGACGAGCTGGAGAAGGAAGTGGTGAGTGTGAGTGATCCCCGGGGCGGATCGTGATCCCCGGGGCGGATATTCATCCCGGAGCGGATCGTGATCCCTGGGGCGGATCGTGATCCCGGGGCGGATCGTGATCCCCGGGGCGGATCGTGATCCCCGGGGCGGATCGTGATCCCCGGGGCGGATCGTGATCGGAAGGGTAATGGCAGAACGGACACAGCCCTGAATTTCTGTCTTCTTCTCTGCTCAGGCTGCAGCCCAGCAGCCAGAGATTTTGGCGGAGGTGAAGCGGTGCTGCCACCGTGTGGACGAGCTGGAGAAGGAAGTGGTGAGTGTGCGCTGCCTCTGTCTGTCCTGTGGGGGCGCTGTGGGTCAGTCAGCAGGAAGCAGCAGAGCTGCAGAGCCGCGGTGCAGAATGACTCCTCATGTCCATGTCGTCTGGTTCCAACAGAACTTCCTAAAGGAGAACTTCCTGAAGGAGAACTTCCCGAAGGAGAACATCCTGAAGGAGAACTTCCCGAAGGAGAACTTCCTGGAGGAGAACTTCCAGAAGAACCCGGAGACCCGGAGATCGGCTCAGGCACATCTGGAGGACCTGAAGCCTCAGCAGGTAAGGAGGAGACTGGGTTCAGGGATCCACCAACAGATCATCATCATCCTCAGCAGCAGCAGCAGTGGATCCTGAATTCATCCACTTCCTCTGATGTCAGCTTTTCCTTTCCACACCTTCCCAGTAGCTCTGGACTTTGACTAGGCCACTCTAAGCCGTCTGGGTGGAGGTTCTGGCTGGTTGCAGGACCTGGACCTCCAGCCCGCTCCGCTTCAGCCGAAACGGGTCAGCCAATCACATCGCAGTATGGCTGAGACGGTACCGAGCCCAAATAGAACCGGAGTAACCATGGCAACCAGGAGGGCGGAGCTTAGCTGCTGCCGTCACACCTGGTTGGTCAGAATCAAGGATCCGTCTCTGAAACCTCCTCCAACTGATTGTCTGAAACCAAACTGGAGGCGGGGACTGGCTGTTGTTTCGTCCAATCAGCTCCCGGTGGGGGCGGACCCAGATGGATCATGTTAGAACTAACCTTCGGTTCTGTGCTTCCTGCAGCTTGGTGCCTCAGCGGGTTCTGATGGACCCGCCTCCATGGAACGGGCCGGACCTGCTCACCCTGCCCCCTCAGGAGCCGGGTCAGAGGGTGGAGGGAGCCGCAGAGGCTCCGACAGAACCGCAGACCCAGGACTGGATGATGAGGCCCAGTCCGCCTTACCAGGTTCTGATGCAGAAGGTCCTAAAGGTCAAACGTCTGGATCCGGACCTGCTGACGTCACTCCTCCTGAGGTCAGCAGCGACCTGAGCAGAACCTCAGCTCCCAGTCCCGCTGAGCCGACTCGGCCTCAGGAAGCCGGAGATCTGGATCAGAACCAGGAGACGACGGAGGCGGTGGGGAACATCAGGGTCATGGAAGAACGCCAGGAGCTTCTAGAACAGAGCGGGGCCTTCAGAGGTGGGACCGGAGCGATCGGTTCTCCAGATCCTGAACATCTGCTTCTCCTCTCAGCTCCTCAGGGCGCCTCCAACCAGCTGACGGAGGAGCAGCAGCAGGACAGCGCCTCCACGGAGAGCCTGATGATCGACCTGCAGAAGGTGAGGAACAAAGCTCTGCTCATCAGCTCTTTCTTCTGGTTCTGGTTCTGATGTGTCTCTGTGTAGCTGGGAGCTCTGGAGGACGATCCAAGCAGCCAGGAGGTGGCGGCAAAGGGAGACGCTGCCCAGGTGCTCTGGAAGCATGTCTCCTACATCAGGTAAAGACAGACGCATCCTGAAGATCTGCTGCAGACCCTGAATCTCTGACCTGACCCTGGGTGGTCCAGAGACCTTCTCATGTTTCCTCCTCTGCTTTGCAGGAACTTCCTGTTCAAGGTGGAGAAAGACCTGGATCATCTGAAGGAGAAACAGGCTGAGAGGGAGGAGAAGGCTGCAGACAAGCATCTGCAGGAGCAGGTCCACTCTGGTCCCCCACGGCTGCAGGTCTGGACTCACCAAGCTGCTCTAACATCTGGTCTCCTCCCTCTGACCTCAGCTGGACGAGCTGCGGGGCGCCATGGAGGACATGATGCAGTCCAGCAGCCTCCAGGAGGACGAGCGGGACCTGGAGCTCAGTGAGAGCACCTGGAGTTCCGCTTTGAGGTCGAGCTGCGCTACCGTTGGCAGGAAGCTCGGACTTCTGCTGCAGCGCCATGAGCAGCTGCAGGACACGGTGGACGCTCTGCTCCAGCAGCAGGATGGACGCCAAGCAGGACGGGTGGAGGACAGGGAGCCCCGCCGAGTCAGTCAGGTCCCACGGGTCCACCAGGTCCACCAGCACCTCATGTTAGACCTTCCACTCATTTGTGTGTCTGGCAGAGGGAGGAGGAGTTCCAGCACTTTGTGTCGGCCATCGTGAAGCTTCAGACTGACTGTGAAGAGCTGCAGAAGACCACCAGGAGCCTCCAGGAGGACATCAGGCAGGAGGCGGGACACGTCCAGGTACGGCTGCAGCTGCTCTTCTGATTGGCTGGAAGGTCGCTGCCTGACTTCCATGACAATCGTCCACAGGAGCTCCACAGGAAGGCCGAGGAGCTGCAGGAGAAGAAGGCTGACAGGGAGCTGCTGGAGAGCCAAATGGTGAGTCTCCTTCCTCAGATGATGATAGGAAGCAGGATGGAACCGGTACCAGTGGCAAGAAGCAGGAAGGAACTGGTACCAGTGGCAGGAAGCAGGAAGGAACCGGTACCAGTGGCAAGAAGCAGGAAGGAACTGGTACCAGTGGCAGGAAGCAGGAAGGAACCGGTACCAGTGGCAGGAAGCAGGAAGGAACCGGTACCAGTGGCAGGAAGCAGGAAGGAACCGGTACCAGTGATTTAACAGACATTTAGTTTATCACAGCTACAACATTTCCATTAAAGTTCAGCAGTGATCAAATGTAAAGAGTTTAGGTGAAAAAGTTCAGAGCATTAATATTTATGGTGTAAATCTGCAGTATTGTTGGTTTGGTGTCATCAGTGTGATGCAGAGTCTGTGATTTAGAGTTTCAACAGTTCATCAGTGTGATGGCGGTGGGGAAGAAGCTGCTGCAGAACCTGCTGGTCCTGCATCGAATGCTGTGAAGCCTCTTCCCAGAGGGCAGCAGGGAGAACAGTCCATGGTGGGGGGGTGAGGGGTCATTGATGATGTCACGGGCTCGGGACACGCAGCGCTGGGATGAAATGTCTTTGATGGAGGGAAGAGGAGCCCCCATGATCCTCTCTGCTGTTCTCACCTTCTTCCAGTCTGAGGCGCTGCAGCCTCCACACCACACAGTGAGACAGCTGCTCAGAACGCTCTCTATGGTGCTTCTGGAGAAGGTGGGGAGGATGGGGGGGGGGGCAGGTGGGCTCTACTCATCCTCCACAGGAAGTCCAAGCGCTTCTGGGCCCTTTGGACCAGTGAGGTGGTGTTTCCAGTCCAGGTGAGGGTGTCTGTGATGAATGACCACCTCTACAGCTGAGCTGTTGATGAGCAGTGGAGCATGGTTAGGCCGCTTCTTCCTGAAGTCCACCATGATCTCCTTGGTCTTCTCCACCTTCAGGATCAGGCTGTTATCTCTGCTCCACCAGCTGCTCCACCTCCTCTCTGTAGTCCAGGTCGTTGTCGTCTCTGATGAGGCCCACCACCGTGGTGTCATCTGCAAACTTCGCCATGTGATCGGTGGTGAACCTGGGGACGCAGTCGTGTGTCATCAGGGTGAACGGCAGGGGGCTCAGGACGCAGCCCTGAGGGGAGGGGCTTAGACTGATGACATCAGAGGTCCGACCCGGACTGACTGAGGTCTGTCTGTCCAACTGAGTAGACTTAGAACTAGAGGTATTAGATGATGGTTCTGGTCACAGCAGAAGCGTTTCTACAGGCAGAGCGTTGGGCTCACTGGAACATCAGCAGGTCAGGTTCATTAGAACCTTCTGAACCTGTGACCAGAGAGCAGACCGGTTCTAGAACAGATCAGTGGACCAGATCAGTTCAGTTTAAATTCTATTCAGTTTATTTCTATAGCTCCAATTCACATCATGTCATCTCAGGTCACTTTATAGATCCAGATCAACCAGATCATCCAGTCAGATGGATTCAAAGATTTCTATCTAAGGAAAACCAGCTGATTGCATCGACTCATTGACTCTTCAGCAATCCCTCACACTAAGCATGCTTGTAGTGACAGTGGAGAGGAAAACCTCCCTTGAACAGGAAGAAACCTCCAGCAGAACCAGGCTCAGTGTGAGCGCCCCCTGCTGCCCAACAGTCTGCTCTGACCTTTCTGATCCAGACCTCAGTGTTGGGAGGTGAACCTTAGAAGATCCCTGGATGTCCACCGGTGGCAGCGGGAGGATCTGCTCCACCTGCTCCTTGGTTTTCCCTGCATTCATCAGGAGGTGGTTCTGCTGGAACCAGACCACCAAGTTCTATTTGTTCCTCCTTTTCCTTCCTCCTTCCTGCTCACTCCTCCTCTTGCCTTCTATTTCCTTGTCTTCCTCCTCTCCTCTGCAGGAAGCGGAGCGGTCTGCTCTGCAGAGCAAAGTGAGCAGTCTGCAGTTCGAGGAGGCCATGGAGCAGCAGATCTTCCTCCACCACCAGCTGCTCCAGAAGATGTCGGACCTGGAGGAGGACTGGCACCGGGCCCGTGAGCAGCTGTCCAATGAGATGGAGAGCAGGGTAAGGGAGGACCGGTTCTGGCCGGTTCTGTTCGGTCGGCGTCGGTTGGTCTGAAGGTTCTGTCATCCTCAGCTGAATAAGGAGGACCTGGACTCCATGAAGACGCAGCTGGAGGAGCGTTGGAGGAGCTTCCAGGAGAAGCTGCCGGCGTACTGTGCGCCACAGCAGGACCATGCTGCCGCCATGAAGAGGTGAGTCACGGTTCTGGTCCAACGGCTGCTGCCCTCATCAGAACCTGAGCTTCAGACTCCAGCTGAAGGTCCAGTTGGATGCCGCAGAACCCGGTCCACTTTAATCCAGAACTTCCCCTCAGAACCAGGACTGTTGTTCTGTTGAAAACCCTACTGGGTCCACGTTCTGACTCCAGAACCAACAATTGGGTCGAGTTTTTAGATTCAGAACTTTACAGCTCCTCAATCTTCTCTGTATGGGTTGGACCAGAACATCCTCAGAACCCGCTCATTTTCTGGTCCGGAGGTCCTCTCTGTCAGCGGTACCGGCGGTACCGGCACTCATTGCTCCAGCATCAGCTAAAAATGGACTCCAGCGAGCAACAGAACCTTAGGTTCTGGCTGAGGCCCGGTGGCCCAACAGAACCCTAAAGTTCTGGATGTGGTTCCTGTGTTTCAGGCAGCTGCTCCCGCCGTTCAAGTGCCTGTCCTGCGATCGGATCATCATGAAGGAGGTTCCCGGAAGGTCAGTCGACCCGCTTTTATTTCCAGCAGAACCCCCTGCTTCTGTGCGCTGATCCGTTTCCTGCCGCAGGGTTCTGGAAAAAGTGCCCCTCTTTCAGGCTACGCACCCCCAGAAGTCTGTCCAGAGCCCGGGGCCGACCCAACAGAACTACAGGAGGTGAGGTTCCCTTCCCACACTGGACAGAACCGGGGAACCGTGTGGTTCTGGTCCAAAGTGTTTAAACCTTCAGGAGTGAAGCTCTGAACCCAAAGTCACCAGAATGGTTCCTCAGAACCCTGAAGTCCTGCCTGGTAGGACCGTTGGGTTCCTGAACCATTGTGGGTTCTGGTTCTGCTGGAGTTGTCCTCCTCTTCAAAGGCAGAACTTTGCGATTAATCCAGAACTCTGTGTTTTGAACGTCCTTTTTGTTTGGAGCAGCGAGCGCGTTTCTGATGCCGCGGCCCGAAGCTGCAGCGTGAACCAACCCAACACCTCTCTGAGTCAGCGAGGCTCCAGCACCCAGCAGTCCAGGCTGCTCCACCGGGCCGACGGAACCAACATGATGCAGGTAGGTTCTGAAAGGGTTCTGGAAACATCTTGATCAGGGAACACTGATTGGTCAAAGCAGAACATGTTTGGGTCCTCAAAGAACCTCGGTTCTCATTTATAAAACATTCCGCTGTAACTTTGGTTCCCCGCAACCAAGAGCAAATGGTGGGGAACCCAGGGTAGATGGTCGAGAACCCAGGGTAGATGGTGGGGAACCCAGGGTAGATGGTGGGGAACCCAGGGTAGATGGTGGGGAACCCAGGGTCGATGGTGGGGAACCCAGGGTAGATGGTCGAGAACCCAGGGTAGATGGTGGGGAACCCAGGGTAGATGGTGGGGAACCCAGGGTAGATGGTGGGGAACCCAGGGTAAATGGTGGGGAACCCAGGGTAGATGGTGCGGAACCCAGGGTAGATGGTGGGGAACCCAGGGTAGATGGTCGAGAACCCAGGGTAGATGGTGGGGAACCCAGGGTAGATGGTGGGGAACCCAGGGTAGATGGTGGGGAACCCAGGGTAAATGGTGGGGAACCCAGGGTAGATGGTGCGGAACCCAGGGTAGATGGTGGGGAACCCAGGGTAGATGGTCGAGAACCCAGGGTAGATGGTGGGGAACCCAGGGTCGATGGTGGGGAACCCAGGGTAGATGGTCGAGAACCCAGGGTAGATGGTGGGGAACCCAGGGAAGATGGTGGGGAACCCAGGGTAGATGGTCGAGAACCCAGGGTAGATGGTGGGCAACCGAGGGTAGATGGTGGGGAACCCAGGGTAGATGGTGGGGAACCCAGGGTAGATGGTCGAGAACCCAGGGTAGATGGTGGGCCACCGAGGGTAGATGGTGGGGAACCCAGGGTAGATGGTGGGGAACCCAGGGTAGATGGTCGAGAACCCAGGGTAGATGGTGGGCAACCGAGGGTAGATGGTGGGGAACCCAGGGTAGATGGTCGAGAACCCAGGGTAGATGGTGGGCAACCGAGGGTAGATGGTGGGGAACCCAGGGTAGATGGTGGGGAACCCAGGGTAGATGGTGGGGAACCGAGGTTAGGGAACCCAGGGTAAATGGTGGGGAATCTAGAGGGGTCCAGAGGGCCCCCGCCCCCCAGCTGCAAGGTGTTTGGTTGTTCCCATGTTATGTAATTCATAGGAACCAGCAATTGTTCTACATCCCTCACCACCCCCCCAGCATGATGCTGCCACCAGCAGAACCAGGTTCCATCAATCAGGTTAATGAGTTCTGATGATTTTGGTCGTTTACAGGAAGGACAGATCTTCAAAGGACGCTCAAACGGCCAGCAGCTCCAGAACACAGAGGCCAGACTTAGAGACGGTGAGGTCTGAAAGCCCAGGAACGTTTCTGTTCTTCTTCTGTGGTTTACGGTTCTGTGCTGCTGCCGCCGCTCTCTGCAGGAAGGACAAAAGAGAAGATCAGGATCTCCGTCCCCCAGAGGCCAGCTGCATCCCCAGGGGAGGAGGCCGATGCAGCCCCCCCTCCTCAGAGCCTGCAGGGCAGTCACTCAGGTAGGAACCAGAGGTCCGGGTTCGTTCAGACATATCCAGAACCCAGCGGTACCGCAGATGACTTCATGTAGTCGTCTTCTATGAGGGCTTTATTGTTGCAATATAATCCACACATCTGTATTCAGATCTACAAATATGTAGATCAATAAATACAGAGAGAGACACTGAAGCCTGAAGTATTTTAGCTTCTACTGCCAGAAACACAGGCACATCATTGGTCACCAGTCAACCTCGGTTGGTTCTCTTTACATGAGATTTTTGCGTTTCGGAGATCTGCAGATGTGTAGAGAGGATGTGTAATATCTGGGTTTACTGCCCTGAGTGCAGACTTGCAGGCCCACCGGCTGCAGATTCTCGTACAGAGACTCAACTCTCTGCACACATTCGCAAATTAAATTGATAAAACAACAAGTCCCTCATGACCTTCTTCTTCTGCCCTGCAGCCTCCGGTGGCTCCGAACAGGACAGGCCTATGTCGACTCTGGTCCACTACTCATCGCAGAGCTCCGTCAGTGAGGCAGACAGCGACACTGAGCCTCTCCCTCTGTAGGGGGCGCCGCTGAGCCACCTGAACCTCTTTCATTGCACCGACGCAAGAAGTTTGACTGTTTCTCTCTGCGTTTCACTTTGTTTCTAATTATAACTGGAGGGAATTTTTTCTAAACTGTTAAAAAAATGAGAAAAGGTGATTTTTTTAGCAGCTAAATCAGGAGGTTTTGTTTTTCTACTTTTAAACTCAAATCACCTTATTTCAGTGAAGAATTTCATGATGAAATGGCAAAATTTGATGTTAATTTGTGCAGTTAGAGCCCTTGATTTCATCTGGTGGAAATAAAACCAGGATTAGTTTAGACTATAAAGGTCAAATCCGGTGTTTTCTTTCATATTCATGTCCGGAATATAAAATATATAAAAGTTTCTTCTATCGGTCTTAACGGGGATCCGGTTCTGGACGGGCTGCAGCAAGAGAACAGACCGACTGCTCCTGAAGACGGGCCCCAGGGAGTTTGGGTCTGACTGGTCCATGATCTGATGACCTGACGCTGTCATTTCAGCCTGTGGCCAGAAGGGGGCAACGCTGCTCTCAAATTGAACAGTGTGAAACATCTCCAGCAGCAGAAAACCAGAAAATCTGATCTTCTCCTGAATTATATCCCTGTACATTTGGACATGTCATTTAATCTTTTTTTGATCCTAACAAGAAATAAAAAACTGTTAAAATGAAAATATCCCACATAGAGGGTAGTTTTTTTATCTGATTAAAGGAAGCAAATGTCAAAAAATCCTAATTTTCATTTTCTTTCTTTGAAACATCACAGTTTGGTGCTCTGCTGAACTCTAGTGGCGATAAAACAAACCTGAATAACAAATGATGGAAGACCTCAGAGCAGCGATGTCTAAAGTTCAAACGTTTGTTACTTCAGTAGAAGTATAGATCCTGCAGTTTAAAAACACTCTGGGAAAAGTTAAAGTATCAACTTGACCTCTTTACTCAAGTAAAAGTGAAAAAGTATTTTCTCCAAAAACTACTTAAAGGGGAACGCCGTTTTTTTTCCATTGGTTCTTGATTTTCCGTTATTCCATCATGTTCTACTCACCCAGATGAGTTTAGTGTCATCTGGAGCTGTTCTGAAGATATTCCATTAGGTTATATCCAGTAACGTCTTCCTATGGGCAACGACTTGAAGGCACAAACTAAACTGTTCATCATTTATTCTTTATGGTACCCCAGCATTCAGAACATGGAGGCCAATCACTGTCTCCCAGACATCCGCCGTTAGATTTTATATTTATATCTTTTAAAAACAAAGCGGCGTGTGTATGATGTCATCAGCGCGCGCCGGCTACCGTTCCTTCATCCTGTCCGCTGAACTGCTGCTAGTTTTCCTCTCATGCCTGGAAGATGTCTAGTGCTACTAAAGATGATCTCGCTCTCCAGATGAACGATTCAGATGAGCTAGAATGAATAGAAGGGGTAGAGCGTAGCCGCCTGTGGCCCCGGCCGCCTGTGGCCCCGGCCGCCTGTGGCCCCGGCCGCCTGTGGCCCCGGCCGCCTGTGGCCCCGGCCGCCTGTGGCCCCGGCCGCCTGTGGCAGGAGAGGAGGACACAGACCTCTGGGCGAGGCAGACATGGGCAATGTGGAGTCAACAAGTCATCTCCATGTCATGTATTTAATCTACCCATCAGTTAACCAGGTGAGTCCAATATGCACAGGTTGATCCACGGTGAGGATTGGACTAACCTGCTTCAGTGGCTGGGTAGAACCAATACATGACATGGAGATGACTTGTTGACTCCACATTGCCCATGTCTGGGGTGAGGGTTCCGGGTCCGAGGCCCGCAGCTTGGAGAACATGGTGATAGCAACCGGGAAGCTGGGCGGCATGGCCGGAGTGTTTCTGGGGGCGCCGACCTGAGGGAGGAGTCTAGACATTAGTGGACCAGAACCAGAACCTGAGCTCATTTAAAGCCTCTAATTCACAGCTGGCACTGGGTCGGACCAGAACTCCTCTGGCTCCAGAGTCCAGGAACAAACGACTGGGCAGCAGAACCAACCGGGTCTGAAGAGGTCCAAAAACTGATCGCTCACACTGATGGAGGAAGATCTCCTCATGGGATGAAGGTCTGATCATCATCATCAGTCTGATCTTCATCAGTCTGATGGTGATGATAGTGAGAGTGATGAAGATCAGACTGATGGTCCTGAGCCCCCTGCCGTTCACCCTGATGACACACGACTGCGTCCCCAGGTTCACCACCGATCACATGGTGAAGTTTGCAGACGACACCACGGCGATGGGCCTCATCAGAGATGAAAACGACCTGGACTACAGAGAGGAGGTGGAGCAGCTGGTGGTGCAGAGATAACAGCCTGATCCTGAAGGTGGAGAAGACCAAGGAGATCATGGTGGACTTCAGGAAGAAGCGGCCTAACCATGCTCCACTGCTCATCAACAGCTCAGCTGTAGAGGTGGTCATTCATCACAGACACCCTCACCTGGACTGGAAACACCACCTCACTGGTCCAAAGGGCCCAGAAGCGCTTGGACTTCCTGCCCCCCCCCATCCTCCCCACCTCCTCCAGAAGCACCATAGAGAGCGTTCTGAGCAGCTGTCTCACTGTGTGGTGTGGAGGCTGCAGCGCCTCAGACTGGAAGAAGGTGAGAACAGCAGAGAGGATCATGGGGGCTCCTCTTCCCTCCATTAAAGACATTTCATCCCAGCGCTGCGTGTCCCGAGCCCGTGACATCATCAATGACCCCTCACCCCCCCACCATGGACTGTTAAGCTGCTCGTTAAATCTTGAAAAGCTTTTTGCATAAAAATTTCAACAATCTTTGTAGAAGATGAAAATAAAGTTGATTTAAAGCTGTAAGAAATTCCTTCATTGTATCCAAAGTTTTATCATCTTATTATCTTATTATAAAGGTTCTGGAATGTTTCTGATTTTAATTATTTTTATTGATCAAATTAGGATGTTTTTTTCTGTTTTTGTCATGAAAATGATTAGATGTTTTTAAAGATTAAGTTCAGGATTTTCTTGGTATTATAAGGAAGTTGAATTGATCAATTATTGGTGTAATTGGTGAAACTGAGTTATAATTAAGAGTTAAACAAACCGATCTATTCTGGATGTTTCTATAGAGACGCTCTTCTGCATCAGTTTATCTGAAAGGAGAAACATCAGGAATTTATCATCGTTCAGCTAAAGCCTCAAAATGCAAAAAAAAAAGGTTTTATTTGTTATTCTATTTTTTAAAGATGCAGGGAGGAAGAAATTGTTTCTTTCTCAGTTCATCTGATATTTGGTGTAAAATCAAATGATGTTTTTTTTATGCAGCAGATTTTGCAGCATCTGGTTTCAAACCAAATATTACATCCAGTTCCTTTCCCAGTGTTCCCAGTTCTGGGAAGTGGCCCCGACCAGTAAGGGTTATCTTTCCCTCCAGAGGGGCCCCTGGAAAGGCCCCGGACCTCAGGCCGGGAACCTGAGCGCTCAGCTTCAGGTTGATTGAAAGTGCATCTCCATGGAAACCGGCGGCCAATGGGGGAGCAGCAGGCTGTTTACACGGGGCTGTCCCGTTACCATGGCAGTCAGCAGGTATTAAACTGGCTCCCCAGCAGAGCCCTCAGAGCGCTGACTGGGAGCCACTGGGCGGCTGCAGGAGTCCATCTCAACTTCTGGAAGTTCTGCGCAGTTCGGATCCAAAGGTTTCCTTTCCAGGTGATTCCAGGTGAGTTTGGATTCAAGTTGCTCTGCAGGATCCTGTCTATCAGCTTCCTGCAGCAGCACAGATCCAGGATGGATGAGGAAAGTTTCCTGAAAACTCACAGACTTCTTCACTTTAAGACCCAGTTCATCCAGGGTCCTGCTGGGCTGGGTTCTGTCTGTCTGCAGCGGCAGGAGGCCGGAGGGGAGCCATGCTGTGTCTGCGCCCGGAGGGCCGGGAGGAGGAGGAGGCCCAGGCTGGGCAGCGGGACTCCGGCTTCAGCGGCCTGGATGACAGCCTGACCAGCCTCCAGTGGCTGCAGGAGTTCTCCATCCTGGGAGCTCCGGGACCGCAACCCGTCCAGCAGCAGCTGGGACCCGAGGGGCCGGCCTCCCCTCTGGCCGCGGACCCCGCCTCCTCCCTGGGGGCGCCCTTGACCCCGGGGAAGCCCACCGCGGCGGCATTCAGTAGGATGCAGACCCTGCCGGGGCTGGTGGCGCACGGCCACTGCCCTGCGGAGGTGGACTACCGGAGCGACCCGCGCGTCAAGCCGCCATATTCCTACGCCACGCTGATCTGCATGGCCATGCAGGCCAGCAAGCAGAGCAAGATCACCCTGTCCTGCATCTATCAGTGGATCACTGACAACTTCTGCTACTACAGGCACGCGGACCCCACCTGGCAGGTAGCTGCATGACGTCACACACGCCTCACACAGCCTACTGTATGCAGACAGCGGACAGGACGTGTCGTTTCCTCCTTTATCTGAGCCCCCCCAGAGGGGGGGTTATTGCTTCAGGATGTTTCATAGCAGGATGTCCTAGTCAAAGGTTTTCCTTCAGCAGGAATTTCCCTGCATAGTTTCATTTAGCAGCATAAATGATTGATGAGGCCTCAAAGCTTTCTGTTATTGTTTGGCAGAACTTGTGCAGATAATGTTTAACAGAGGTCAGCGGGTCAGAGCTGTGTTCACAGAGGAGGAGCAGCACCTCCCAACCTGTTCCTCCTTCATTAGTTTATCAGAATAAATCATTTGGTTTTTCTCTTCAGAACTCCATCCGCCACAACCTGTCCCTCAACAAGTGCTTCATCAAGGTGCCGCGGAACAAGGACGAACCGGGGAAGGGCGGCTTCTGGAAGATCGACCCCCAGTACACCGAACGCCTTCTGAGCGGCGCCTACAAGAAGAGGAGGATGCCTCCGGTCCAGATCAACCCTGCCCTGCAGACCCGGCTAGGACTCAGCCTGCCGGCTCCGTCTGCAGGGACTCCTGCGGGTCTGAACGTGTCTGCAGAGTCCAAGCGGTTCCTCCGGGAGTTTGAAGAGGAGACCCAGCAGCACCAGAACAGGGACCCCCGTCTGTCTGAGGGGACCATGCTGGGCTCCTGGCCCGGCACCGGGGAGAGGAACGGCTACAAGAGGAAGCTGGGGTCCAAGAACGGCGCCTCCAAGGCGTCCCGCCGGTCCAGCTCCCCGCTGTTCTGCGTGGACGAACCGAGGGAGGCCGGACCCCTGAAAGGACCCTTCGACTGGGACGGCCTGCTGGACTCGGCCCTCAGAGGGGAGCTGAGTCTGGATGGAGGGGACCCTCTGAGCCCCGTCATGAAAGAAGAGGGCCCAGCAGAGAGGGGGGGGCAGAGAGTTGCCGCTCCGCAGAGCAGCGATGCTTCAGACTTTGACCAGGAGACCCTCCTGGCTACGGCCTTCCTGGAGACCCCCTGGCCGGAGGACGAGGATCAGGGCTGCGGGGACTTCCTGAACTGCTCCAACCTGGAGCAGCTGTTTGACCTGGGGGACTCCTTAGAGGTGGGGGCCAGCAGCCGGATGGAGCCCCTGCTCTGATGTTGACTTCAGGTTCCCTTTGATACCAGAAGCCTGCAGGGAAACGTCTGTTTAGACCCTCCTTTAGATGACTAGATGTTTGATGGACCTCCATGCCTTCATCAAGCCCAGACATTTCTGAGCAGAAACTGTGATGAATCGACTTCTGGCTTCAGATGCTGACGCACCGAGCAG